GCAGAAACTTCTGTTTAACTCAAATGAATATGTTCTGAGGTAGAAGGTAAAAAAAAATTATTAGCCCCCCTTTTAAATTTTTTTTCTCTTTTTAAAATATTTTCTAAATGATGTTTAACAGAGCAGAACATTTTCCCAGTGTGTTTGATAATATTTTTTTCTGGAGAAAGTCTGATGTATTTTATTTTGGCCAGAATAAAAGCTGTTTTAATTTTTAAACACCATTTTATGGACAAAATTATTAGCCTCTTTAGGCTATTTTTTTTTCAATAGAACAAACTATCATTATACAATAACTTGCCTAATTATCCTAACCTGTTTTAAAAGTTCGTCAACCAGCCTAAGTGGCTAGCGGGAGTGGCTGTCTAACCTAGTTGGCGGGTGTTAATGTCAAGCCCTGTTGCCACGTATGCAAAAAAAGCAGAAAAATCTAATCAGATCCATTTTAATGACAAACAAGAGTATAAAGCTGATTGACACAACATGAATTTGTATTTACTTTTTGTGTGCAAACATTTTGGATGAAAACCGTGAAATGAACTTTACATTTTGAAATGTATTATTATTATAATATAATCCTGGATTTTCAATATCATTACTCCAGTCTTTAGTGTCACACGATCCATTAGAATTCATTATATGATTAAAATATGCTGATTTGATGCTCAAAAACATTTCTTATTATCAACGCTAAAAATAGTTGAGCTGTTTAATATATTTGTTGTAACCATAATTCATTCATGATGCTTCAGCAACATTATAAATGCCTTTACATCTTTGCTAAATAAAATAAAACAAATAGATAAACAATTTTTTTTTATATATTTCACCTGGTGATAATGGCCAGATGTGGTGGGTGCATGCTGATGTAGTCCTTGAAATAGACCCTATATTTGGGCAGATCATCCACTTCATCATCTTTAGATTCTTCCTCTGATCCTTCCTGATCCTGAGCGTCGTCTCCTTGCTGCTCGTCATTCTGGGTGAGAAGAATATAGTAATTAGAGGGGTCAAAAATACAGTTAGAGTTTAGAGTCGTGCTTCGAAAGCATTTTAAGGGTTATACAATATGAAATGAAACAATTTGGTAATGACACAACGTCTCTGTATGGAGGGCAATACATGCCAAAATTCTTTAAACATTAAAGGCTGATTTATACCTATACATCAAGTGCACACATTTGGTCAGGTGCAGCCTATGCGCAATCGCATAGCCCTTGCCATGGCTGACGCTGACGCTGACGTGCACCTCTCAAAACATGTAACTACATGTCGCAATGACATGTAGCGCAAGCTTTATGATTGGTCAGCTTGGCAGTAGTGACAAGAGTGGGTGGTGCTAAAAGCCACAAGCTCAATGGAGTGATTGTTTACAAGTGTCTAGTCAAGTGAAGGAGCTCCAGATGGAAAGTTTTGTTTTGTGTTTACCCTATGAATAAAGTTGTTTCACGTCCGCCGTTTCCCGCCTCTGAATGTGTGAGTTTTGCAGTGTTCAGAAAAAACAAAACACCAGCGAAGAAAAATGACAAAGAGGAACATTAAAACATACTGCCAGCTAGTGTTTCGGAAGTGTTATTGCAGAACAACACAAACAACACGCAGAAGTATACATGCATGACTTAGCGCAAGACAGGCGTCGTGGGTCACGCTGATCACTCAACGCAAAAGTATAAATCAGCCTTACACATTTTCACAGTTTGACCATGCAAAAGTGCCAATTTTAAATATTTTTATACTTCTGGCTCACATCGCCTTCCATACTGTATCTGGAAATGCATTTTATTTAAAGCGATACATAACATCTGTTGTTTATTATGTATGTGCTAAACTATATGTCAAATTTAATGAGTTTGAAAGCATTTTAACAGTTATACAGAATGAAAATTTTAAAATAGGTACTTGCACAGTGTATGGAGGGTGATCAGTGCCAAAAGGCAGTAATACTGCGAAGAAAAAAAAACTTAAAAGAGATAGTCCACCCAAAAATAAATATCACCTCATCATTTACTCACCCTCATGTAGTTTTAAACCTTTAATTCAACAGGAAAGAAGAAAGAAGATATTTTGAAAAATGCTGGTTGCTGGAATCTATTGACTTTTATAGTAGGAAAAAAACATATGGAAGTCAATGGGTCTCAGACACCAGCATTTTAAAAAATATGTTCTTTTGTGTTCAAAATTAGAAAAAACAACAAATAGGTTTTGAACAAGTAAGGGTGAGTTTTGGGTGAACTATTCCTTTAATGCAATTGAAATGACATTCCATTGTACATCTATTGTAACAGTTTATGTTCATGCTATCTGGGTTAAAAAATGATCCATTTATTCATTCGAGAGCTTTGAAAGCATTTTAAAGGTGATATGAAGCAAAACATTTGGTTATGGAAAAATGTCTGTCTATGGAGCGGGCAATCCATGCAAAAATTCTTTAAACAAAAATAATCTAGATACAGTTTTACCATGAAATAGCAATTTTTAATATTTGAATACTTTTGGCCCTAATCACCTTCCATATCTGTAAAGAGGCTTTTTATGAAAATCAATATATAACATTTGTTGTTTGCTACATACAGTTGAAATCAGAATTGTTAAACCACCTTTGAACTTTTTTTTATTTTATTTTTTTTTTTATAGATTTCCCAAATGATGTTTAACAGAGCAAATAAATTTTTACAGAATGTCTGATAGTACTTTTTTCTTTGGGAGAAAGTCTTATTTGTTTTATTTTGGCTAGAATAAAAGTTTTTTAATTTTTTAAAAACATTTTTAAGGTCAAAATTATTAGCCCCTTTAAGCTATTTTTTTCAATAGTCTACAGATCAAACCATCGTTACATAACAACTTGCCAAATTACCCTAGCCCGCCTAGTTAACCTAATTAACCTAGTTAAGCCTTCAAATTTCACTTTATAAAGCACTCAGTCAAGTTTATCTTATTTTGTACATTGAATTCCACCTTAATGAAAATATATTAAACAAATTCGATTAATGTAACCATTTAGCAGAAAACGGCATGTTTTACTATAGATTTTAGACCTAGGGCGCCGCCATCTTGGAATGTCGTTGTGTCTGACATCACGAGGTTGGTTGAGTTCCCTGCGCTGAACAGAAACAATGGAAGTCAGGGAGAGTGTAAAGCCTACTTTAAAGAGCCCCTATTATACATGAAATAGGGTCATATTTTTGTTTTAAGGGTCTCCAAAAACAGTCTAATATGCATGCAGGGTCAGAAAACACTTTCATAGTCTTATAATCTGCATTTATTTTTACCCAATTATCCCAGCGACTCCCATATGATTCGTTCAGTCATTCATTTGTTCCCAAACCCCTCCTTAGCGTGAAGCTAATCTATGCTAATTGGACCAATCAGCTAATCAACAATACAGAAGTAGTTTACCACGTCTCCCTTCTCTAAACCGAAAATACTGGCAAACTGCAGAGGTTGTGTTCGTTTTAGAGACCAGGTCACTTGGTGCTCCACTCGGCACCTTACCTTACCTCACCTCTCTCTCTCTCCTCCACACTGTCCCGTGATAAAAAACATGCATACACATTTTTAGGCATTAAATATATAATATTTCATATTTAATACTTGTCTCTTATTTAAGTGCATTGTTTTTATGACGGTATAGCGGTATTGAAACTGACACGGTTGCTATTTTTTGATCCCGCGGTTTACCATATTACCGTATTACTGCCCAAGCCTAGTTTGCATGTTCTCCCCGTGCTGTTGTGGATTTCCTTGGTAAAGCTAAATTGTTCGTAGTCTATGTGTGTGGATGAGTGTGTGTATAGGTGTTTCCCAGTGATAGGTTGCAGCCGGAAGGGCATTCGCTGCATAAAACATATGCTGGATAAATTGGCGATTCATTCCGCTGTGGCGACCCCAGATTAATGAGTGAAGTTTCACAAACTAATTTCGAGAGGAGCACGTGATATGATTGGGCACGACTATCTCCTGTGTAATCAGTAATAATCCAATCAGAGTAATCCAAGTTTACTGTAAATGGATTGTTTTTTCCCTACTGCTCTATCTTTTTTTTTGGAAGAATTCCCCCTTCCACCCCATCTCCTCTTTTTTCTCTCTTTTCTAAGGGGGAGCTATCGAGACCTACCAGATCTTGGATCCCCTTATACGTTTATTGACCGGGCGGGAGCCTTGGGCTCAAGTATCTCCGAGCTTAGGGTTCTCTCCTGGGACAGCATGCCAAACCTGCTATTAACGCCTAGTATATCTAAGTGGGAACTCTTGAAAGGGACTAAGCCGAAAAGAAAACAAATTAATGAATTAAATTTGGCCTATATACATTTTTTGCAACAATTTAGCAAAACCTATTTTTGTCTGTATGAAACTGTATAAACAAATTCATTCATTTATTAATTTTCTTATCGGCTAAGTCCCTTTATTAATCCGGGGTCACCACAGCGGAATGAACCGCCAACTAATCTAGCACGTTTTTACACAGTGAATGCCCAGCCGCAACCCATCTCTGAGAAACAATCACACACACTCATTCACTACAGACAATTTAGCCTACCCAATTCACCTGTACCGCATGTCTTAGGACTGTGGGGGTAACCGGAGGATCCAGAGGAAACCCACGCGAAGGCAGGGAGAACATGCAAACTCCACACAGAAACGCCAACTGACCCAGTTGAAGCTGGAACCAGTGACCTTCTTGCTGTGAGGCGACAGCACTACCTACTGCGCCATTGCGTTGCTGTATAAACAAATAACATTTTCAAATTTATTCAGATTTTTAATTTTCACCAAACTCCTTAATTTTTTTTAAAACACTGCAAGCACAACAGCAGTCTACTAAATTTGACCTAAACATTTGATTTGTTTGAAAGTAATACATGCATCTATTCTGATGCTTGACTAATACTATTAGTAGTTTTTTGCTATTAATGTTTTTTACTGAACCTTAAATTAGTTTTATTCTTTGTGGAAGTGTAGTGTATTTTAAATACAAACAATAATGTTAGTGACAACAAAACTTAAATGGTAAAAACTTTATTGTTTTTTTGAGCATTAACCAGGTTGACAGTTTCAAGTTCACAGTAATAAAATGGCAAAGTAATATGACTCTACTGCCACCTTAATGATAAATGAAATGTAACATAAACAGAGAGAAAACTGTTACTACAGTTGAAGTCAGAATTATTTAACAAATGAGTTCCTTCAATTCGACTGCCTTCACATTATTATAACCAAAAGAAAGTAGCATATTTCTTTAGAAAGAGTCTTGGTGAATATACCTGGACACATGGAATACTATTCATATAATAAATCACAGATAACAAAAAACATTTAAGCCCTGTTGAAATATTAAGCTTTAGAGCTGAAAAACAGCAAAAATGCTGCAATACTCTTCTTGAAAAGCCTGGTTCATTAAACCATTTTGATTAGGAAACATTTTGATTGGACAAACAATATTGACCTTATTCTTCATGTATGAGTGGACGCAGTCATTGGAATCTGCCTAAAGACTTCCGGTCTCCTTCACTTTTAGTGATTTTAAGGTATTAAAAACAGCTTGTGATGATGCTTGATGTTGCAAACTGACATTTCCTTATTATATTCTTTTATTTTTGTTTGTAGAACAAGTAGTAGACATTTTTCTGCCATTTATTAGTCAATTCTATTTCATTGGCACCAGAAACAGAAGTTCTAAAACAATCACAAAATGAGCGCACTTCTGCATTGTAGAATAAGGTCAATAGGACATTCATTTCCATGATTATGACATGATTTGCTGATTTATAGCTTTAAGCATGCATATAATGATCAAGAGAGCTCAACCTGCTGCAACTTAGAAATACACAAATACAAAAAACATTAGCAAATAAAGAAAACACCTTAATCGGCACACGTGTTGCAAATCCTCACAATGCAAACACAAATAGAAAACATGATGAAAATCCTCACAACAAATGCAAATAGCACGGACCACAATGGAAATGTTTTTTGTCAAACCGGCAAAGATGTTTTCTTATGTTGCAGCACGTTGAGTTCTCTCGGCTACCAACAGTTATATAAAAACATGCAACTACAGAACATATTATATGTGAAGCTAAACCACATTAAAAAACTGTTTATGTTCACATTCAGTCATATTTTAGCATTGCAGAGCACAATAATTAGTAATGCATTCCCTTGTTTTTCTTTTATTCATGATTTCCGTCTTAAACAGACGTCTCTGCTAGGCCTGCACTGAAGTCAGCTGCAGATCTCCACAAATCTCTAAAATGTCGATGTCGTTCAGCTTTGTGTAGCGATGTTTGTAAGTGTGTACTTGTTTGCCATTGACAAAGACATTGTAGTGTTGGGGATTACAGGAGATGGTGACCTGCAACACAAATACAAAACAAACAAGTATAGTTAACATTCAAGCCACAATGACAGCTTTTAGAGCAGGGGTTCTCAAACCCAGTCCTGGAAATCCGGTGTCCAGGAGATTTTAGCTCCAACTTGCCTCAAAACGCCTGCAAGGATGTTTCTAGAAAGCCTGCAATCACACTAGGCTTTTCTCCCGATAGACTTTCATTCATACGCACGCGAATGCGTCAGACCAGAAATGCAAGGTCATGCGTCAAGTTTCGCATGTTGCGGCGGTGCAAAGTTCAAGCTTGGTGAACTCTGACCTGCAAAAAGGCATCACATGACTGTGTGAGACCAATCGAGGATCAAAACATGACCTCTCTGGACAAGAATTTAAAATATGAACCAATTGCTCGCTTTTTTAACGTCTAATCATTTTGTTTAATTCTACCCCTTTTCGCAGCGCGATACGACAGAATTTTGCACACACAAGCACTAGTGTGACTGCAGCTTTATAGCTTGATTAGCTAGGCCAGGTGTTTCTGATTGGGGTTGGAGCTAAAATCTGCAGGACACTGGACCTCCAGCACTGAGATTGAGAACCCCTGTTTTAGAGTAATGTGAATGGCTTCTGTTTGTTTCGCATGCATATATGTAAGTTTGTATTGTTTAATGGCAACAATAAATCCTATTTACAGTCAAATGTACATATTCATCTACTCTTTACAATAATATCCAGCTGCAGGCCTGCAGAACCACACACGTTTTAGGCACACACAATCTGGCACACACAATCCAGGCAAACCATGTATGGTTACGACAGATGTTAATGTTATTAACATCTTTTTGAACATTGTCATCAATATATTTTGATATATTTGGTTAATAAATATTGTACACAATAAACAATAGTGTCTACTTTACTTTATTTCACAAATATTGCAATTGAGACGGCCGAATGGGGAGCATTGTTTCCGATCGCCATTTAATATAATAGACTGAACAGTTTTTAATCAGTCATTATATATATATATATATATATATATATATATATATATATATAACTAACAGCTGTGACAGATAAAGATAGTAGTTTATATATAAACTTATAATTATAATCAGATAATCAGTTAAGATAATCAGTTTATAACTATATATAGGCTATATATATATATTGTTTAAATGATTAACTATAGTAGGCTAATTTATTTTAAAGTGACATATTATTGTTTACTTTTTATATTTTACAACAAAGTGATTTTAACCAAGTATGATAATATTAAGATCTTGAATTAGTTTATTACACTTAATAAAACAATTAGGCGGTCTATTATGTTTTCTTTGTGTATGTGGACACGTGAATAAAGTCATAAAAAGTCATAAGTGTTACATAATTTAAGTTCAGAAACTGCAGAGATGTTAAAATGATCATTACGATATAATAATAATAATGACTGAAATGGGAAACCATACTTGTGAAATTCAATAGGTGGCGATAATGATAAAGAGTTGATTTGGTACTGTATGGTTTTCCTAAATCGTGTGTCCTAGATTGTGTGTGCCTAAAACGTGCGTTCTGCAGCTGGATATATCTCACTATTTAAGCTTAATAATTCTTTCTTGAATATTTCTAGTCTTGTTTTTCAGACAAGACACTCTTCAGAATATGTTTTGCAGATGTATGTCTGCTATCTGCTCATATATCTTTTTAAACTACTCAGATTTGTACAATTTAAACCACACAATGATACCTATACAAAAAAAATTTATACTTTTAATTAAGGTGCCAAAACTTTTAAATATTAAATAGCAGTGTTTTAAAATGGTGTTAATGTTATAACATTAACCATGGTAGTAATTAAACATGGAAGCTCGCAATGCTTATGATAGAGATGTGCTAATACATGTTTAAAAACAGCTAAAACATGTGCTTAATAAGTTAAATATGCTAATGCGTGTTATTTTAGTATAAAAACATGCTAACTTATATGACCAACATGTTAAAACATGTTAGTATATACCATAAAAATGCTAATTAATACTAATATGCTAGTTCATACTGCAAGCTTATGGCTGGAAAATAATTCGATATCAATATATATAGCGATCATTTTTTTTTTCAATAACGGTGACATGATTTTTAAACCCATTTCCGGTACTTCGATATAAATTTGCATATGTATGTTTTATTATATATACATATATGATCTTATACATTGTATCATTTGTCACTGAATGACTTTCAGTGCTCAGCCGTCAGAAAGAGCGCGATGTCACTTGCGTGATGACGTACATCACTGACATGCTCCCAGCGCTCAGCAGTTAAATAAGGGCCGTCGCAGAAAGTTTTTGCTACAAAATAAGTGTTTTATAAATTAGTTGATGAGAGAGGAAAGACTAATGCAGTGGTGTGGAAATGGTTCGGCTTTTTAAGTTTCGATAAACGTATAGTTTTGGTGCTCTGCAAAATGTGCAGGAGAGTGTTGCTGCCAAGCAGCGGGAACACATCAAATCTGTTCCGTCCGACAGAACATACTGAGAGTCAGAAGATGTGGCATCATAAAAGTTTAAACCCACCTGTCGCCTCACCAAACCAGCGGTGTATGAAGAGAACGCAATGAAGCTAACTCAGATGGCTATGAGATGCCGTGTAGTATTTAAATCAAACTTTGCTTATCAACACGTGCATATACACCTAAATTACTCGTATATAAACCTGTACTATGTTTAAAACATGTATGAAACTTGCACATATACATAAAAACTTGATGCATGCATACACATTTACACACACACATGCATTTAAACTTGATCCTTGCATATACTTGATTCTCCTATATACACCCAAATTAACACTCACACAAACAAACTCGCTGCATGCTGGTATAGCACTCTAGCAAACTGACAAAATAAAACTCACAAACATATTATATAAAAAGACTATATAAAATATATAAGAACTATTTTATGTTAAATGTTAATTGGGTAATTATACACAAATATATATAGTCAGATAGAACCCTTAAAGAACGTTCAAGATGAAAAGCAACCAGAACTATGAATATACTCATCTGTTTGTAAAGGCTAAGTACAAATAAAAAGTCAACATTCATTTTTTTTGTACTTTAAAACAACAAAAAAGAGCCTGGAGATATTAAAGACTTTGCAAATTCAGTTTGCAGACATTTGTAGGTACAGACATCTATTGTGTGCGTTCTTGGCAGTTCATAACCGTGTATTGTCCATATCCATATTGAAATTATATCGTATTGACTGAAATTAAGAAATGTATCATGATTTAAATTTTTGCCATATAGTCCAGCCTTATGCTAGCTGTTAACAAAATGCTCATAAATGCTAGATGTGTGCTTAGTACTTTAAAAACATTCAACAATGCTACAACATGCTAGCAGCATTCTGTCCTGCACGCAAGATGAAAACATGTTAACAACATGCTAATTAATGTTAAACATGCTAAAACAGGGTACCCAATCCTGTTCTACTTTCCTGCAAACTTTAGCTCCAGCCCAGATAAAGTACAACTGAACCAGCTAAATATGAACTGCAGATGTGTTTAAGCAGGACTGGATTTACCCTCAAGTGGTTCCAAACATTAATGACTTTCCTTGTTCTGCTATATAAAATATTTGAAAAAAAATGTATAAAAGTCAAAGGCTGTGGGATTCCAGCATTCTTTAAAAAGCCTTTTTGTGTTTTCTCCAATGGGTTTGGAGGGTATACTTTAGGTTAATAAACATTTTGAGGTAAACAATCTCTTTAACAGCAACAATCTCATATGTTCAGGGTAAGTTCTACCTGAAAAGGTTGTCCTTTGTGAAATGGCAGCCCTCCAAACCGTTCCTCCGCACCCCATTTCTCCATCTGGTTGGTGTTTCTCACAACAACATTCTCATCAAAACGGGGATTGTAGTGAAACGCAATCCCACTTCTGTAGCACAGGTTGAATGTTATTCTGATGGAGGAAGTAGAAAAATGGAGGAATTAATTTCAATAAAGCAGATTTACAAAATGATTTAATAAAAAAATGTTAGTTGAAATTCAAACAACACTATGGCAATTAAATGTCTAACCTTTTAGCATTAGGGTTGACAATTCCATTGATGACAATGTTTTTGCCTGGGTGAAGTCCCCCATTCATGACCGTTTTGTATGGGATGGTCTAAATGTGGGTAAAATTAAAGAGATATTTAAAAATGAGTGTAAAATGTTCAAGTGAAGTCATATACAATACAAAATCATATATTTCTACAATACATTTTAAGTGCTATTTAAAAGACCAATGAAGTTTTCCTGTGGAATGTTTTTTTTCTTTAGCTAAAATAACAGCAGTTTTTTTTTTTTTTTTTTGCAAAACAATTTTAAGAGCAATATTATTAGCCCCTTTACAGAACAAACTACTGTTATCCAATAACTTGCCTCATTAACATAATAACCTACTTATGTCCTCAAATTGCCCTTTGAGCCTATTACTATCATGCAAAATAAGCGATTAATATTATGTACTGTCCCCAGATCAAAGACAAAAGTAATTAGTTATTACAAGTATCACGTTTAAAAAATGTATTAAAGAAATCTTCTCTCTGTTAAATAATGCTTAAGAAATATTTTTGCAAATATTTACATTTCAGGAAAGGGCTAATATTTTTGACTTTAACAGTATATTTAAGTTATATACTGTAAGTTATACAAACGTATTACAATAAAATATATGCAAAAAAAAGAATAAATATAATAATATTATTATACTTATGCCTTATAATACCGTGTGGAATCATCAATAAACGCACGCACGCACGCACACACACATATACACATATACATATATATACACACACACACACACACACACACACACACACACACACACATATATATATATATATATATATATATATATATATATATATATACAGTATATACATACACAGAGACATGTTGGCAGGTTAGATGAACTCTATCTTTTTGTATGTTGTAGTGCTGTATTTATACCGATTTGCTCGCATATCAGGAATGTGTGTTGTGTTAACAGATATAAGCTTGGTTGAAATAAGAATAAGTCTGCAAGTTTTGCGTTTTTCCTTATCGCAAACACAACAGCAGACTGGTAACGTTAGTGGATTCGTTCTTATTTTCGGGGTTGATTATTCTGAAATCCCGATTGCAACAGAGAAATACTGTAGGCTGTAACACTGTAAGAAGATATCTCTGTAGATGATGGCATTTCATGTCACTTTCAGCCTTATAATCTTAAAGTGTAAATCAGCAGTTTTGTCATCACTTTAGACAGTCATTTAAACAATAGCTCTAAAGTGATGTTGGTGAATTAGTAACGGCTTCTGCTGTTTTGACGTCAGCTGCAGATGTGAATGAATGGCAGAACAAAGTAGTGCCTAATACAAAAGGGTTATAGACTCTCTGTGTTTGATTTTCTTTTTTATGTACAAGATTGTGCCGTCGAACTGTTGTATAAAGGAAATATCACACTCGTAGCAGTGTGCTATGGCTGTATATCAGCACTGGTGGGGTGCTCGTGTTAATGTTTTGATATCATTTCCTGTTGTGAGAGCTGCTCTTACATAGTTTGGTGCAGAAGGGAAGGCAGGGAACTGTAGGGAAACACAATTGTGCATTATTATCACTTTCTCACAAGGGGAAAACACCACAAAAACACCTGACAGTGATGAAAGATAAGCGAGGCTGGAAATATGATGCATCATCAAGATTAATCTACTGTCAACAATCTACAAAATTCGAAAAGTTGGCATTACATCCACAGATGTTTTCATGTTAAACACTGACTGCTTTTGTAGAGCGCTAAATGAATCATAAAATACATAAAGATATGACCTTTGATCTCATAAGGTTGTCACATGATGTATTTCATGACTTATTGACCACTTACCCCACATCCTGGAGGTACAGCATACTGAGGCTGTAAAAGAGGAACAGGAGAGGTTTATGACAGCTGACATGAAGATAATAATGTCCTTATGAATCAACTAAAGATATTTCCATCTTACCGCATAGCCTGCTTGGGGAGGAATGAAACCCTGGAAAAAGAATAGAGTACAAAGGTACTGCAGAGTTATACTGTAACTTAAGTTTAGCTGTGAGCTGATTTTACTGTGACAGGTACAGGGTAGGACTCACTGGAAAGGCTGGTTGTGGAGGGAAATAGGGCTGCAAAGACCAAACAAAATCATGTTGTTTAGTTTTTTGATTCAATCACAAATGCTCATAGAAATCTACAGTATGCATTAAAAATGTATTTGGACACTTCAAGCCATACTAATATATTAAATTACACTGATAATCAGTTTATTGCAGTAAATGAAACCTTTAATAGTTCTACATTTGTAATGATCAATTTCTAATTTGTGCAGTTTTTTCTAGTACTAAGTCACTCACTTTCTTCTGCTCGATCCCTTTTTTATTAAAATGTATGAAAAGCCAACTGAGCCGAGGTACAAACCAGCGACCTTCTTGCTGTGAGGGTACAGCACTACACTGCGTCGCTATATATATACAACAGTTCTGTCTGGTTCTTGAATCTGATTGGCTGATAGCAGTGCATTATTTTGCAAGTAACATCACACAAAAGCCTCTTCACCCTTCACTGTGTATCACTCCGCCCACATACAGCCAGCAACAAGCAGAGACACTACAGTTTGACAAATACTACTGTTGTTAGACAACAAAATGTACTTTTGAGGCTTTTTTTAGTTGAGAATATAGTTGTTTAGATTGCAACTATGCAGTTTTTTTGTGAGAATATATATCGACGGCGCATATATATATATATATATATATATATATATATATATATATATATATATATATATATATATATATATATATATATTCATGTGTTGAATGAAACTTGGAGTTGCTCTTTGATTTTACACATTATTTCAAAACATACTAGCAAATGATTGCCAAAAATGGCTCTAAAAAAGGAAGTCATTTGTGAGAAAAGATTTGTTATGACCACATGTGCATTTTTTTCCCTCACCGCAGGATTCTGGAAGGCAACAGAGTTCACTTCCACCATTCCCTCCACTGCGACTGTGTCGACCTGAGTGAATGGTATCCGATGTTTGTAATCCATAAAATGTCTGCCATTTGTAGATATCTAGACAGATCCAGAAAAGTAAGAAGAGGTCAAACTCCTGAGATAATTTACCATTTATAACTTAATACACTTAAATAAATCAAAGATATATGGCCAATGGGGCTAATGCTGCTCAAAAACACTTGAACAAGGTGAACATTCCTGTACCTTGTATCTGTCTTGGGCAACGAGGATCTGCAGGGTGAATGTTTGACCTTTAGCAAAGGGAGATTCATACTTGCGCTCCTCTGAGCCCCAGGTCCTGTTCAGATATGAGTTGTGCACTACATAGTCAGTGTCTTCATAGCGTGGGTTAAAGTGAAGAGCAACGTTAGCCCCTGAATGAGAACCACACTGTAGGTTCACATGAAACCTGCAGGACAAAGAACAATCAAAGGCTTTAAGACAAACTGAGGACGTGAAAGAGTAATAAGGGAGTGTGACAAAAGAAGTATTTCAATAGATAGATTGGTTCTAAAATACAATAATAAATCAATGACACTTGATTAGAAATTTATCTACTTTGTGTTAAAGCAAAACACACACACACAAACATAGTAGTGCTGGGCGAAAATGAATCATGATTAAACCCATCCAATATAACAGTTTATTGTTTGACACAATATATGTGTACATATATTTATTATGTATATGTCAGGGGTGCCTAAACTCGGTCTTGGAGGGCCAGTGTCCTGTATAGTTTAACTCCAACCTTATACCAATCTGTATACCTAGAAAGAGCTTGAGTGGCTGGTTCAGGTGTGTTTAATTGGGGTTGGAACGAAAATATGCAGGACACCGGCCTTCCAGGACTGAGTTTGGGCACCCCTGATATATGTGATACACACACATACATAGGAACAAAACTACACAAAACAACCCCGCATTTTCCACAGACCACAGCGGAAATGTGTCAGGGGGCCCCAAAAAGTGACAAACTCTGCTGCTTTCTGTTAAGATGTCAGATTAGGGCTTACAAACATACAAAGAACAAAAAAAAGTACATTTTTGCGGTCCCCCAAAACATTTTCATTGAGGTCTGCTTCATTTGCAGTAAATGTCTGTATTTGCATGTGTTGTCAAATTGAGGAAGATATCTTTTCACGTTGTTAATGTATTTTTTCTATTTGCATGGGTTTACATAACCTGCAGCAACACTGTAAAAAAGTTGACAACTTAAAATTGTAAGGCACTCAGCTCCAGATCATTTTTGAGTTTCTCAACTTAGATCAAGTAAAGTAATTGGGTTGAAAGTTGAGTCAACTCAAAAAAGCTCTGCAGCAAGTTGCCTTACAATTTTGAGTTGAGTCAAAGACTATGGAATACACAAGTTTTGAATGGGGAAAAGTGTAACGGTCAATATGGCGAATGAAGTCCCACTTACAAGTACAGGAGCCAATCATCGATTGCTATTGAGAAACGTTTCTCCAGGGACCAGACGTGTGCTTTTACGACAGTTTTTGTGGTCAACAAATGCACTGGAATCTCAGCTAATACTTGCTTCACAGACATAAAAAATATTTCAAATAAAGCTTAAAATTTGTACTTTTAAACGAACCAAGTGCATTTGAAAACCAAAGTGTTTCGGTTTTGTAATCTGTGTGAAATAAACTTGAGGTACAGTCCATCCTGTCAAATGCACATCACATGACAGCAACTATTTAAATGCCGTCGCTGTCATTTCTGGAGGAGATTCGCCATCAACACCAAGTTGTGGATTACTTCTGAAGACCCGTGCAATCTGACGAAGCATTATCCAGAGGATGATAGTGTGTAGAACGATTACAAATGAGGTTGGTGTCATAATATTGTTCTTTTCGAGTGTGCATGCACATTAGCTTGGCTACCCTGAAAATATGCCAATTTAGTTTGATTCATACATTTAGAAGCGAAACATACGAGTCAGTTGTTGTTTACATTTATTGATGATTCCAAATATTTAATGTAATCATAAGCTTGGCAAACAGTTTTGGAGAATTTGATGTTTCCCCATTCAGATAGAATGCCCAAACATACTGCTTGAGAGGCGTTTCAAAGATGGCTGCCGAGTAAGTTGACTTGCATTAAAAGGACTTTGGTTGAGTCAACTTTTTTATTATTTTTTTTACCGCAAGGTTTAATCTCTCTTAGTCACCGTAGGTTAGACTCTAAATTGTGTATATGATGGACATTTTGTTATGAAAAGGATTTGTGAATGTAGCTGCATGGTAGGTCACATGCAACAGTATGTCCAGATTACACACAATGTAATGATAACAATGTAATTTCCTTTTCAAAATTAGTAGCATCTCAAAACAGTAGGCCTATGCAATTTCTGACACAACCAGTCACTAGGTATGTAATACTAATCAGCTGACAAGTTAAATATTTCCCTACTTTAGTAAAAAAAAAAAAAAACAGTGTGGAGGAGTGTGTGTGACCATGAAACAACTAAACTATTAACAATAAAAGTCAAGCTTGTTAAAAACAAACAGTATGTGTATTATCATTGTTGCAACTCTTTATCACACTGAACAAAAATTCAGCAGAATACACTATTAAAAATAAAGCCACCAGGTATATCCCACTTTTTCACAGAAGCACTTTTTTATACAGAGAAGAAAGTTTTAATAAACTAAATAATCTATCCACCTAAAAACTTTTGTTTTTGAAAACTTTTATATTATTCCTCACCTGTTAGCACCTGGTAAAACCCGTCCACTTATGATAATGCTTTTCCCGTCCTGCAGGCCGCCCTGAATTGGGCCTCTGAATGGAATTCTCTGTTTAGATGTAAATATTGATACGAAACATAAGTAGGCATACTGGTAATCCGGTAAGAAATCATTACTACTTTTCTAACCACAAACCTATGTCCAATTTACAGCTATGAATACTGTTTTAGTCTGCATTTTGGCCAATAAATGGATAGAATTACATGGTAAGCAAGATATGGAAATGAAATTAGGGCATGTGAAAGTTTCAAATTACACTCATTCATCAGGTGTTTATTTCAAACACCTCATTCTGGCTGTTTAAACTTGTATTACTTCACGGTTAGACTACTGCAATGACCATATGGTGCAGAAGTGCTCTTGGCATGTTTTGAGTGAGTGGCGAGTTTGAATCCCGGATCCACAGTGCAGACTGAAACATAACGGGGACAGAAGTTTCTCTGTGGCGGATCTGTGGTTATAAAACACTTTGCCCCTTAAGATTAGAATGGTTCCATTACTATTTATTTCTAAATCCCTCCTAAAAACGTACCTGTTCAGGATGGCCTTTTAATATTATTTTAATGGTCTTTTCTACTGCTTAATTTTAAAATTGATTCAGTCGTTTCTCTTGCTTCATTTGTATGTTTTTATACCCTCTCTTTATTTTACTCCGTCTTATGTACAGCATTTTGGTCAGTCTTGTGGCTGTTTTTAAATTTGCTTTATAAATAAATGAATTTGAACTCATTCAGAATTTCTGTAAATTTAATTATTTCATCATTTGAATATCAATGATTGTCATTTTTACTTTAATGTGCTCAATTCTCAAACTTTTTTCACATTTACCCACACTGTAGTCTGTTGGCCTAATTGTGGTGTATGTTTTCTCTATGAATGCTTCAGTAAAAGCGCACAAAGTGCCCCGCAACTGTGCAACATGATAATATAATATTTATAATATAATATGTGTACTATTTGTAATTGAATTCATTTGGTTTACTTTAAATAAAAAAATATATACAAGTAAAATTGTACTTTGGACTAAACGGCTGGTTTAAAGTAAAAATACTAAAACGAAAAGTTTAACTGGCGTTTTTTGCTTTAAGGCAAACTGAATAAAACGCCCCACTGAAAAATCCAGCTTAAACCAGCCTAGGCTGGTTAGTAGGTTTTAGCTGGTCGACCAGCCTGGTTTTAGAGGGGTATTGCCCATTTCCAGCATGGTCTTACCTGGAAAATGACCAGCTAAGTCCAGCTTGACCAGCCTTGTTTAAGCTGGACATAACTGGTTTTGTCTGGACTCTCAGCCTGGCTAGGCTGGTCAAGCTGGTTTTAGCTGGTCATCTCCCAGCCTGACCAGCTAAGACCAGGCTGGAAATGCTGGAAACCGGCCTGGAAATGCGCAAAACCCCTCTAAAACCAGGCTGGCCGACCATCTAAAACCAGCCAACCAGCTAGTTTAAATTGGATTTTTCAGCAGGGCTAGGTTATTCAGAAAAAAAAAACTTCTTAATTACAAGTGACAAGTTGCACAAATCCTCTATATATTCAAGTATGTTCAAGGAAATACTTTTTTTTCATAAAGGCATACAACACTTCACTGTGTGAACTGAACTGTTTGCCTAGCGGAAAACATATGTAATTAAATTACTCTGTGGAGTCAAAATAAAGCTTGAGGATATGATCTGACCCTCTAAACTATAAAGAAGGAACGAAGTCAGAAATAAACCCCTCCCTATGTGTGTCAACTTGCCCCATGCCCCCTTTTTTGTGGATTTTGCGGCATTTTATAGGCAGGCAAAAAGTCTTATCGCGAGGATAAGCAAAGTAACTCAAAACAGCCCAAAACACAAGTATTAAGAAGATATAAATGCAAATTCTGATTTTTTCCCGAACACAAATAACTAGGGACTTACCGGGTTATAGAAAGGTTGTTGCTGGTAAAAAGCCATTCTTCCAGTTATTTATCTTGCAGTTTCAAGTGAGCAGACAAAACCGATAGACAAAGCCTAAAGAAACTCCTTCTGAACACAGCAGTGAACCACCTCCAATGTCCGTTTTCCAAAGAAAAACGTGTAGGTTTCGCTTTCTCCTTTTACGATAAAACAGGAAGTTAGGCTGAGGTACAGTATGGGGTAGAATATATTATTCAAAAACGTAGTTTAAACTGTATCCTTGATTGTAGATTTATTCACATAACCAACCCGTTCAAGAAAGAGTTATATAAGATATATTGCAATATTTTATAATAATCCTATACGTTTATAAACATTTTTTCGGTCATCGCGAGAAGCTAATTTGAGCAAGATGCGGTTGGTCTGATTAAAAACAGGTGCAAAAGGCTTGAGGTCATACTCTTTGAAAATATACTGTAAATTCACTATTACCGAGCAGAATCTTAGCATAAATACGATATTTAATTGATATATAAATTAACCTTATATTCAACATTTGTTGGAAACAATTTACCTGTGATAGCTATATTTCTATTTCTTAAATTCCTTTGTTTCTTAGAAATAGCTGTACTTCCAATTCCAAGCCATAACATAATCAATGATAAAAAAGGATTTTAATATTACAAACATTCGATAATTACTGATAATTTTTTCACTTATTCACACTCAAGAATGTTACAACGTTTGACAAATGTGGACAGACTTGAATAGCAGAGATATCTAAGAAATTACTCCTCACATATAAGGCTTAACTTAATTTAAGAGAAGATGATTTAAGAAACGTTTTATCACTTTTTTGAATCTTTTTATTTTTTTGGCAACTTTTTGAAAACAACCAAGGTCAAAAGATATTTGAGTAAATGATTAAAGATATACAGAGATCAATTCATGACAATGTGCCCTTTCATACATAAAAACTATTTTGTAACTTCAATCATAGCAAGAAGTGATGGTCAGGATATTAAAGATACTGGATTCTTAGTCCACAAACAGTTTTTACATTTTTTTTTATACATTGGGAGGAAATTAAAGTCTTGTTCTTTCGGATAAACTGGTAGAAACGTTTAAGTTTGCAATTGTTACATGTATAACAAAATAATGCATCAGCGAGTTTCTGCCAGCGTGAAGTGGAAGAAAAAAAAAATGTTTCATTTGTTTATTATTTCTGCCAGGATAAAATTACAATGTGCTTACAGACACACAAGCTTTACAAAATATTAATTCATAATTACATAACATTAAATCCTCATTCTAAAGGTGTAAATTTTTATGTTTGAGTCATTCTGTATATAAAGAGCTGTACAAAAAGAGTAAAGTACCTTTTTCCAAAATATTGCGATGGAAACATACAAAATTTTGTACAAATAATATAAGAGTCTTAGCTGTACAATAAATTAAACATTTTTTTAAAGTTGCAGATAAAGGGAACAGTCACCGTAGCTTAAACATTCTCTTATTTACCATAACATCAAAAATAAATCACCCAAAACTCTGCGTGCAATCGCTCACACGCACACACTTACACATAAACAAGAGGTATTAGTCATCAGAAGATCCTGAACGTAATCCTGCTGGGTCAAAATATACTTCATTCTTTAAAATATATTACAAACACCTCGTCAATTTCTTATTTTTGAGGCTCTCGCAGGGCTCAGGAGAACCGAATATAGCATCTGGTAAATTATTATTCATTTAAATCAGCAATGCTCAAACTAGGGCCCGCGGGCCAAAGTTGGCCCATGGTAACCTTTGATTTGGCCTGCCACTGCCTCTGAGAAGGGAGAGAGAATGATGGGAAAGGTTGAGGCAAAACAGATTGCTAATACTAATTTAACATAACTTTTTGCTTGTTTGTTTAATTTTCGAGCTACAAAAAAGCTAACTAAAATTAAATGTTTCAGTTAAATGTTCTGAATCAATCAGATTTTTTTATTGCTAAAATGTAATTGCTGTTTGATGGATTTGATGGATATCGGACAAAGCCCAAGACATTGTTCTAAATGATTTTTAGTTTATGTTTTTATTGTAAGAAGTTTATTTAGTTTAAATTTTAAATATTAATAAATTAATAATTTACCATGGAAACTTGAATGTAATACAGTTTAGTTTATTTAACTTTGGCTCGCCAACTTCAATCAAGTTTGTTTTTTGGCCCGTCATAAGATAAAAGTTTGAGCACCCCTGATTTAAATCCTATAAATCCTATAAGTGTGAAAAATGGAAAATTAATGGTGTGGAATGCAAAACCATTAGGTATTTTAATATTCAAATCATGTGATGGCACACACAGGGTAAACTGAAGCAATTCAGTAAAGTCTATAAGGTCAAATGTCTTGAAATCCTTAGATTTATGATTTGCGTTTACAAAGATTAGCTAAATCGGCTTGGCTAGAGTGTTATAACAGGAACAATTTTTAAATCCCGAAAGAAGCCAAAAATGGGATTACTAATCATTTCCAAGTAATGCCTTAAGCCCAAAGTATACTTCATTTGTTTTTTGTTGTTGAACACACAGTCTTTTAAAGTACAGGATTAATAGTGTATGCACAAACACTCAAAAATCCAAAAATCACAAAATCAAATCAGAAAGATTCATCCTGTTTTTTCCTCCCTATACTGTAATTTATGACAAGCAAAAAAAATGATTTATACTCAGTTGAAAACAGTAAACTACAAATAATAATAATAATAATAAATCCCTGTCCAGTGTCTGCTATGGGGAAAAGGGTATTAATTTTTATTACTTTTGTGTCTTTATTTTTTATAAGAAGAATGTTTAGACTAACAACAGATTAATCAATCTTTTTCTTTTGTACAATGTATTGAGCAAGCATACTTCTTTCTTACTCTGTTGCAAACTTCTTAGAAGTAACTGCTGACAAGAGGGAAATAGCAAAATAAGAATAAATATAGTGCGGGGACCTTTCCTCCAGACTGCTGTCTAAAAAGAAGTCTAGGCATGTCACAAGGAGCTGGATGCTTATAGAAGTTGTGAAATACATTAAAGATACACTTAACTGTTCAGTTCTGGTATACAGAGAAGGGTTGCAGAAAGAGAAAGTATGTTTGGTGTACAAGAGCCAAAGGACTACAGAATGACTGATAAGTGACGTTACACCAAATCTCCATCTGTTAATACCAGTTGTGTATATATGCTGGAGTCATGGAAATTTAAGTTAGTTGCAAACCTCCTGAATGTCATTTTTTAGTATTGCATTGGGGTAATGTAACCCAGAGTTCTGTCATCGAATTATTCATTTGTATCTAGTAAATTACTAATCTATTTGGCAGTAAAGAAAACCCCTTTCCTGACCTTTTTTTATTGAACACGCTCGATATTGGCTCGATATTCCAACACTGTGTATAATTTTGTTTAATCCTGTTGTAGCTCCGACATTAAAACATTATGACATCAACTGAAGATAAAACAAAGCAAATACTGAAGGGGGCCAATACAGACTACATAAAATGTCCTCTTGTTGTCTTCTTGGGTTCAAATTTTGACAAGAGCGCAGGTTACAATTTAAACTTTTAATATCATATATTAAATATCATAATATCAACGATGAGTGTGGTTAAACGCAATAAAACAAGCTTTGAAATCAAACAATTATTTACTGCTTGTAAAAAAATTACACTATGTCTACTAATGTAACTAAAAAGTAGTTTGTAGTCTTTTTCCGGATGTTAAACAACAGCTAGGACCAGTGTTTCCACCTTGTGGACAAACTAATTAGGGCACACAAATTGAAAAAGTGCATACAATTTGGCTGAACAGTCTTGATGATGATAAACTAAAATATACTTTGGGCTAAAAGAGCAACACAAAGATGAACACGGCAAAACACACTCCATCTATAGTAGGGGTTTCCAAACTCAGTCCAGGAGGGCCGGTGTCCTGCATAATTTAGTTCCAACCGCAATTCAACACACTTGAATTAGCCAATCAAGCTCTTAGGTGTACTAGAAACTTCCAGGGAGGTGTGTTGAAGGAAGCTATAGCTAAACTAAGCAGGAAACCGGCCCTCCAGGACTGAATTTGGACACCCTTGATCTATAGTAAATACATGGAATAGAAGCAGACATCTGGATAAAACTACTATTTAGCCTCAGTGGCTTTCTTTGAACGCAGCAGTCATGCTAATGCCTTCAGCAGCTGGGGATAAACTGTCATATTTGTAGACGTATGGACAACGAGAGCGGAGGCCTGGACTGCAGTGCTCACGTAGACAGTGGTGATGCCATACGCTGAACATCCAGTAAACAGAAATGAGAAAATAAGATACATGGAAATGATGAAGATTTGTGGTAAGAAGCAAGGGTGTGACATCAAGAGGGAGACAGCAGCAGATGACAGAGACGAGATCACAGAAGATCAGTCCAGATCCAAGAGAGACCCCACAAGAAAAAAATAAGAATAGAGACAACACACTGAAACATTACAATATTTAAAAAAAAAAAATGTGTAGTGGCTGAGAGAGATCAAATGTGCTGCAAGTTTAGAAAACACATGCAGATAGAAAACACTAATAAATTGAGAAAACATCTTCATCTATTTGACAGAAAACATGAATTTTCACAACACATGCAAATAGAGAAACAGTGTTTTATATGGGTTGCAACTGAAATCTGCAGGAAGGTGGCTCTCCAGGAATAGGGTTGGCCACCACTGATGTACACCATCCCTACAAAAGGTAAAATCTAAATGAGCGATTTATTCACTTCTCTTTATTCAGAATGTTTAAATTATACAGTAATTAATATGATAAATTGATTAAATTTCTTTATAAAAGCTATTAATTTTAACTGTTTGCTAATTTATTTGCAGCTTTTCTACTTTCTACTATTTAAAATATCCTTTGCAAATAATAATAAAAACAGATTACTGCCCATTTCAACAGTTTATTTACAATGAAACAGCTCCAGATGAACATATTTGGTCATTTCTTTTTGTTTTTTGGGGGTGGGGAGGTATCCCTTAATTTCACATCCCAATGTTCACAGGTATGCAACGGAAATCTGTTGGGGGACCCCAAAAAGTGATGAACCCGGCTGTTTCCTATTGAAAGTTTTTTTTTTTTTTTGTAGCATTGTGAGGTGAGTTTTATTGTTTATTTGAACATCCTAATATTATGGTTCCTTATTGTTTGTACACTTTTAGCCGTAATCTGGTGAATTGCATAAGTAACATTTAATGAAATATTATTTTATTAATAACTGTAAACAAGAAGCAGTAGGTTCATCAGTTTTTGGGGTCCCCTGATACATTTGCATTGTGTTCTGCAGTATTTGCAGTGCATTTCTCTATTTGCATGTGATGAAGATGTCTTCTCAATTTGTTATTGTTTTTCTATTTGTTTGTGCTTTCCTAGCTAGTGTATTTAAGCTCTCTCGACCATCGTAATACAAGGCTTCATATGGTTTTTTATTTGATTATACTGAGCAATGATAATAAAAACATCATTTTTAGTTTAAAAAAATCACCACAGTTAAACCTTTATTTTTTAAATATAAGAGCATTGCTGACCACAGGCCAGATATTTGGGAATATGAACATCTTCAGAGTGTAACAGAAGTAAAATAAATCGACACCATCGCACCGATCCACTTCATGGTCAGATTCAGAATCTAATTCTGAATTCTTACATGAAGAATAATATTTAAGAAAAATAGCTTCACACATATTTGCAAACCAAACCAACCATTCATATAACAAGCAAAAACATTCACAAACATACACTCCTTTTTGTTTCACTCTCAGAAATTCAATTCTGCACCGTAAGACATCACGTTTGTCCCAAAATTGTATGACACAGCACTCATTCGGTTCATTCCATGCACTGTATCCTCACGACACTCACCACACTAAGAATCCAATGGAGTAAATAAAATTAAGAAGGCTCAGAATTAAAAAAACAAACAATGCACAGGTCGGCTCCAAACGATCAGTTAGTTTGCGTGCTTTTTTTATACTACAGCCCCAAAAACGGGGTCCGTAGCATGCAGCGCTTCAGTCTAAGATACATACTCCTCAGACTTCCAGAAGTGGCCCGGGTGCGAGAGTCTGCGGTTGAGCTTTGGCAGCTTCTCCAGCAAGTCTGACAGCTGAGTGAATGTTGGTCTGTCCTCAGCTTTAAAACACCAGCAGGCTGACAGGATCTCCTACAGTGTCAACACAAAGACCATGCTTACACTTTGTAATAGAATTATAGTATAGAAATAAAAGTATCTATTCTTAAATTTCAAATTAAATATTTAATTATTTATATTTGACCTGGAACCACAAAACCAGTCTTAAGTTGCACAGGTATGTTTGTGGGAAGAGCTAAATATACATTGCATGGGACAATATTACTGACTTTTCTTTTATGGAAAGAATCATTGGAATATTAAGTAAAGATCATGTTCCATGAAGACTTTTAGTAAATTTCCTACTATAAATATATCAAAACTCAATTTTTGATGATTCATTCCTAAGATCCTAATTTGGACAACTTTAAAGGTGATTTTATCAATATTTTAATTTCTCACATTTCAGATTTTCACATAATTGTATTTTGACTAAATATTTTCCTGTCCTAATAAACCATACATCAATGGAGGCTGATTTATGTAGGTCTCAGATGGTGCATAAAGACCATTCCAAAAATGTACACTTATGACTGGATTTGTGGTCCAGAGTCATGTATAAAATCAATAAAACATAATAAAACTAGATTATATTAATTATAACTTTATTATGATTATAATTCTATCTACTTGTACTGGATTTAAATAACTTAAATAAATATATAGGTAACACTTTACAATAAGGTTCATTAGTTAATGCATTTACTAACATGAACTAATTATGAACAACACATGTACAGCATTTATTAACCACAATTGAACATTTACTTATGAATTAATAACATCCAAGTCCATGCATATTAACATTAGTTAATGCACCATGAGTTAACATGAACTAACAATGAACTACTGTATTTTCATTACTAATGTTAACTAACATGAACAAATACAGTAGTAGATGTATTGTTCATTGTTTGTTCATGTTATTAAATGCATTAATTAACATTAACTAATGAACCTTATTGTAAAGTGTGACCAATATATAATTACACATAATATAATACAGATATTTGAATGATTTAAATAGAACAGTTGGATGGAAAGTGCAAAACATACATTCAAAACATACACATTTATATGATATAGTTATTTCATTTTTTAATATTGTGAGTGATTAAATATAAAATTTCTATATAATGCAAATTAAAATGGAATAAAATGATGATTTCTCAATCCACTATAATAATTAATGTATATATATATATATATATATATATATATATATATATATATATATATATATATATATATATATATATATATATATATATATATTATGATATGTATCTAATAAATTTATGATCATAATTATTTATAAATAATAATGATAATAGTAATATGTCTATGTGTTAATTATACAATGTAACGCAAATCTACAATTACACTAAATTATATACTATAGGTGCTTTTTAGTACTTAAAAATGGCAGGGTTGGACTCACCGTGACCTCCTTGCCCAAGCTAGTACCCTTAGTAGTCAATAAAGATCTGATTCCTTCTCCACTTCCCAGCTGATAGATCAACACTTGAGTCGGCTGGTTGATGATTGGCCAGGCTTTGGCCTGGAGTTCATACCAGATAGTGCTAAAACAGACACATTTACAGTCAAATAACCAACTTCAGTGGCACCATGCAAAATCTATTTAAAAATATTATCAAACGGAAAAATTTAATGAAAATATCAGGTTAGTTTTACTTTGTATAGGACAAAAGGCAGATATGAAACAACCACCTAAACAACACATCCGCATTATACACTTTTCTTTTGAGATGCAGACATGGAAACTGAATTTTTTTTTACCCAAAGGCGTAAACATCAGCAGCTTTTGAAAAGGGCAGACAGTCTTCTTGGTTTCCTGGTCCAATCTTTCGCACAATCTCTGGAGCCAAGTAATAGATCCATCCTCGTGGCAGCTTCAGCTCATTTTCTCTCCTACACACACAAGATAGGCATAAATGAAGCATTTTGGCTCCATAATAGGGTTAATTGATTTATTATAATAGACTGACTCTGTACCTGTCCTCTTGAACCACTCCAGACATCCCAAACAGGCCAAAATCTGTGATGACTACTTTGTTTGAATCGTAAAAGACATTCTTGGACTTTAAGTCTTTGTGTACGATTCCCTTTGCATGGAGGTAACCCATTCCCTGAAGAAGGCAAACACAAAAAAAACAACAACAACTGATGAACAGGGTTTCAGCAGGTTCAATCAAGTCAAAATTAAGACCCGTTATGGACATTTTAAGACCATTACGAATAAAATTTCAGACTTATTCTAAGAGAAATGTTAAGGGTTTTGTTCTATTGTTCCCAACCATTAAAAAATTCTAATTAGTTATTTCTTAGCCACATATTCTAAACAATATCAAAACAAGCAGATCCTAGTTGTAGGATTCTAGTCTGATCACGTGATAGGAAATCGGGCCCGATCACGCAGTTTCAGACTCAGGACATTACATCTCGATCAGGACGCAAATTTTTACACATCTATAGTTATGCAGTGCAGCACAGAGTTAAACCTCTTTCTTGACTTCACACAAAAATAAGAAAACGTGTGGCATGACATCACTTTGTTGTAGAGACGCTATTGGTTAAATGCCATCAAAGTAGAACATGGAAGCAGCTTGAAGAGGAAAGTGTGAGTATGTCTATGGTCTGGACGTATTATAAAGTTGATGACAACATTGCCAAAGCAAACTGTGTAAACCTACAAGAGGTGGAAAGGAAAAGCCTACATTTAAGTTGCTGAATGTAAAAGTAAGGTGAGTTAAATAAAAATAAGGAACATCCTGAATCTGTTTCTTAGCACTTCTTTATTCTTTTTTTATGTATTATAGAAGTATCAGATAGGGTATTGCTAGATACTCAAAATCGGATACTCAAATTTTAGTTTTAGACTTTTTTAAAATCTTCCGATTGAAAAAATTAAAATGAAAAAAATGAAGAAGAAAAAAACTCAAACTTGTTTCAAACAAGTGGTGGAAGATGACTAAACAATGACAGAACTTCCACTGTCGGGTGTAGTATCCATTCCAAGACATTGTCTGTGGATAATTGTTATTGATGAATCATTCAAAATAAAAGGTACATACCTTTACGATTTCCTGAGCAATTTGTCTAATTTTGTTGATGTCAAGTTTAGAGTCTCTGACGACTGAGTAGAGCGTCCGTCCTTTACAAAAGCTGCAACAGGACAACATGAATACATTACAATCAAAACCTATTTGATTTTAAGCATTAAAAGCTTGCAGCAGCTTTGAAAAGCCAGTTTAAATCCAACTGATGTAATACAGTACTTGATCAGCTATACAGTTAACACCCTAAACGGTTTTGCTCACTGAAATATACATATGCATTTTGTATTTGTTATACAAAATATTTTTGTTAATATGTAACGAAGTCCAATACATATTAATTAATGTTGAGAAATAATAAAAATAAAAATGTATAAACAATACAAAATAAAGTCTTCAAACAATACAGATGATTTTGTTGTCCTCTCTCTACTGAACAAAGTAAATATTGTAAACATTGGATCCATTTTATTGGATTGCATAGAGAGCAGGGAGATTTCCATCTCCTTATCAATCTTTATTTTGGTTTTGCTTGTACGATGGCTCTGAATTGTTAAAACAGCTTTCAAAACGCTTGCTACACAGGGCTTGACATTAACTTTTTTAATCAGCAGCCACTTTTGCTAGTAGTTTTCAAACATTACAGCCACTCGCCATTTTCACTAGCCATTTTCATACTTTTTTTTTGTTTTGTTTGGCAAAACATATTTTGTATGCATAAATTTGACTTTGCTAAAATTAGCCCAAAATTTTAAATTAAGTGTCAAAACAAGCTATACAGCTGTATACATATACTTCTTCATTCATTCATTCATTCATTTTCTTGTCGGCCTTAAAGGCTGATTTATACTTCTGCGTGAAAAACCGGCGTATGCTACGGCGCTGACGCATAGCCCTTCGCCGTGGCCATCGCCGTCACTGACGTGCACCTCTCAAAAAATGTAACTACACGTCGCAACGACGCGTAGCGTAAGCTCTGTGATTGGTCGGCTTAGTAGCACTGACGAGTCTGGGCGGGACCGAGAGCCGCGCGAATGGCGCGACGCCGTGCGAGCGATTGTTGACACGTGTGGAGTACCGTGAAGGAGCTCCAGATGGAAAGTTTTGTTTTGTGTTTACCTCACAGTTAAAGTTGTTGCACGTCCGCCGGTTCCTGCCTCAAAATGAGCGAGTTTGAGCCACTTGTACATCCCGGAAGTGTTCAGGAAAAGCAAAAAAGTAGCGAAGAAACTCGACACAGAGGAACATTAACACCTCACTGCCAACTAGCGTTTCGGAAGTGTTAATGCAGACTGACAGAGACAGCGCGCAGAAGTATAAATGCACAGCTACGCACGTTGCATGCGCCGTGGGTTAGGCCCGTGACCTGACGCAGAAGTATAAATCAGGCTTTAGGGCCATTGATTATCTGTTCAAAGAATGTTTAAAGCGGAAGCAACCGCTGCTGCTAACCAAAATACAGTTAAAAGAATCTGGAGCTCTTGAAAGCAGCAGGACCGTCCATTCACGAGCATCGCTTTTTATCCAGACTATTTCAAAGAGAATCAATCCCACCAGTTGCGTTTCAGCATGAATGATTTGTGCAAGGAATTGTCTCTTTTTCTATACTTTTAAACACTCATCAGTGAGTAAAGATCGACTGTGTCTCACCGTGCACGTGATCATCCTCTCATTCATGTGTACACAGTTATTTTTGTCATCTCTCACGCTGGCGCGGGGCCATCCTTATTGTTGAACCCTGCTTTTTAAGAAAACTACAATTTAAGTGGCTAGTGGAAGTGGCTGTCCAACCTAGTTGGCGGGTGTTAATGTCAAGCTCTGTTGCCACGTATGTATAAAAAAGCAGAAAAATCTAATCTGATCCATTTTTTAATGACAAACACATAAGTTTAATTTTCTCTGTGCAATGAAATTTACATTGTGTAATTTTATTATACATTATTATCATTATTATAATGCAATATAATCCTGGATATTCAATATCATTACTCCAGTCTTTAGTGTCACATAATTCATTAGAATTCATTATATGATTAAAATATGCTGATTTGATGCTCAAAAACATTTCTTATCATCAACGCTGTAAACAGCTGCTTAATATATTTGTTGTAACCATAATTCATTCGTGATGCTTCAGCAACAAAATAAATGCCTTTACCGCCACTTTTAATCAATTTAATGCATCCTTGCTAAATAAAATAAACCAAATAAATAAACAAAATATATATACTTCACCTGGTGATAATGGCCAGATGAGGTGGGTGCATGCAGGCCCCCATAAACAGCACAACATTCTCATGTCGTGTCTGCCGGTAGTTCATCACCTCCTTCTTGAACAGTTTCAGATGCTCCTGGTTGTTACCGTCAATTTCTAATAATCGGACGGCCACCTCTCCATGCCAGCGGCCCCTGCACACCTTCCCCCAGCGGCCTTTACCTATCAGCTCGCCAAGCTCCAGCTGCTCGAAAGGCACGTCCCATTCACGCAGGTCCACACTGGTCTGGCTGGCTTTGCGGCTGATGTAGTCCTTAAAATGGCCGCTGTATTTGGGCAGATCATCCACTTCATCGTCTTCAGATTCTTCCTCTGATCCTTCCTGATCCTGAGCGTCGTCTCCTTGCTGATCGTCATCCTGGGTGAGAAGAATATAGTGATTAGAGGGGTCAAAAATACAGTTAGAGTTTAGAGTCGTGCTTCGAAAGCATTTTAAGGGTTATACAATATAAAATAAAACAATTTGGTAATGACACAACGTCTCTGTATGGAGGGCAATACATGCCAAAATTCTTTAAACATTAAAGGCTGATTTATACTTATTCATGAAGTGCACACATATGGTAAGGCGCAGCCTTGGTGCAGTCGCATAGCTCTTGCCATGGCTGATGCTGACGTGCACCTCTCAAAACATGTAACTACATGTCGCAATTACGCGTAGCACAATCTCTGTGATTGGTCAGCTTGGCAGTAGTGACAAGAGTGGGCGGTCATAAGAGACACAAGTTCAATGGAGCGATTGTTTACAAGTGTCTAGTCACATGAAGGAGCTCCAGATGGAAAGTTTTGTTTTGTGTTTACCTTATGATTAAAGTTGTTGCACGTCCTGCCTCTGAATGAGTGAGTTTTGTAGTGTTTAGAAAAAACAAAACACCAGCGAAGAAACATGACACAGAGGAACATAAAAACATACTGCTAGCTAGCGTTTCGGAAGTGTTATTGCAGAACAACACAAACAGCACGCAGAAGTATACATGCATGACTTAGCGCAAAGCAGTCGCCGTGGGTCACGCTGATCACTCAACGCAAAAGTATAAATCAGCCTTACACATTCACCCAGTTTGACCATGCAAAAGTGGCAATTTTAAATATTTGAATGCTGGCCCTCATCCCCTTCCATACTGTCCCTGCTAAAAAATCCAGCTTAAACCAGCCTAGGCTGGTTTAAGCTGGATTTTTCAGCAGGGGTATCTGTGGAAATGCACTTTATGGAAAGCGATATATAACATCTGTTGTTTACTTTGTATATGCCAAATTATGTCAAATTTCATGAGTTTGAAAGCATTTTAACAGTTATACAGAATGAAATTTAAAAAATAGGTACTTGCACAGTGTATGGAGGGTGATCAGTGCCAAAAGTCAGTCATTTATTTATTACTGTGAAATAAATTACTTAAAGAGATAGTTCACCCAAAAACAAAAATCACTTCATTATTTACTCATCCTCATGTAGTTTAAACCTTCAACTGAACAGGACAGAAGAAAGAAGATATTTTGAAAAATGCTGGTTGCTGGAACCTATTGACTTTTATAGTAGGAAAAAAACATATGGAAGTCAATGGGTCTCAGACACCAGCATTTTTTAAAATATACTCTTCTGTGTTGAAAAGCAGAAACTGTAATAGGTTTTGAACAATTAAAGGGTGAGTCTTGGGTGAACTATTCCTTTAATGCAACTTGAAAGACATTGTAATTTATGAGTAGCGTTACAGTTTATTGTCATGCTATCCGAGTCAGAAAAAAAAAAATACAATCATGGCACAATTGAACTGGAACACTGTCTGTATACAGAAAGTATTCAGTGCCAAAAGTCAATAATGCATTATTTCTGCAACCAAACAATAATAATAATAATAATAATGATGATGATGATGATGATGATGCAATTGGAATGACATTCCAGTTAAAATCTAGTGTTACAGTATATGGTCATGCTATCTGGGTTAAAAAAAGATCGAGTTATTAATTTGAGAGCTTTAAAAGCATTTTGAAAGTGATACGAAGCAACATTTTTGGTTATGGGACAATATCTGTGTATGGAGGGCTATCAATGGCAAAACTCTTTAAACATAAAGAATCTACGTACCATGCAAAGGTGGCAATTTTTAATATTTGAATACTTTCAGCCTGATCACCTTCCATATCTTTGGAAAGGTTTTTTTTTTATGGAGAGCAATTTATAATTGGTAGTTTCAATGTACATGCCAATTTAAACACTATTTGACCAGATCACTTTTGATATGATTGAATCAGATTTTTTATGGAAAGCAATATAACTAAATGTAGTAATAAAATGATCCAAATATACAATTAAAATATCCTCCAAGAATAACATGATGTCTATGGGTTTTTATGTTCACCCCAACATACTATTGCAAAACGTGTAAACATTATATCAAAATTATATCAGTTTCATTAGCTGTTGCATGGACACAATTAGATTAAAGGTTATTGATTCACTGTAAAGGACTAGGAGTAATTGTGAATATGTGTGTCAGACTTCACCTTACTATAACCTTATTGATTAAAATACATGTTTTGGGTCAACACAACAAACAATACCGAAATGTGAATTTTACTGTTAATATTTAGTAATAAAATAATATCTCTCTGCTATACTATATTGCTTTACTTCACAGAAACAAAGAAAAATAAAATAGAGACATCTCTGATTAAATATGCATTTATGTACTGTATAATAATATAAACATATACACAATTTTAACATGCATGTTTACTTCAGATTTAATTTAATCCAAATGTTAAGATAAAAGTTAAAGTACTTCAGTAGCCCAGTCATCAGGGACAATACACTTACTGTTATACACTTCACAATAACAGGATTTGACCACTACGCTGAACTGGAAACTGTGACCACAAACAGTTTCAATTCCTCGGTGAAATGTTTGATGTTGAAAACTCACCACATCTTCCCTGTGGCCTGATGACGATTGGCTTGCAACACCATCCAACTGGTCTGATTCTCTGTAAGGAGAGAGAGGGCAAGAAAACAAGACATCATTAAATATTATAATAAAATATTCTGTCTTATTATATAAACTTAAAATATCAGGTTTTTATGAGGGGAAGCTCACTCAAAAAATGTGACACTGCTGAGTTAAATATTTGAGACTTTTGAGCTATTTTAGTGAATTAGCTTTTATTTTCAAATTTAGTTCAAGTTTAAGTAATTTTAGTCTTTGAATTTAGCTTTAATCATTTTACAACTACAAAGTTCTCATTTCTAATTTCTACAAGAGATGAAAAATTAAATACTTTTATCTGAATTTAAAGGTGCATTTCAGCGAAATACTATGTGCTCATATTGTTTGCGTGTGTACAAAAATAACAAATAAAACCTTTTATTATTTTAATTTTATTTCTGGTTTACTTAAATGACACATTTGAACTAAAATATATTTTATATAGTTTATATGTTTCGGTTTATTTCAAATTAATAACAACAACTTTTATGGTACTAGTTTTAGTAAACTATAATAAACCTGTTTCTGAAAACTTTAAGCCTTTTTTATGGTTATTTGTTTTCTTTTTGTGTGATTTATGGAGCTCAAAATTCCACGGAAGAAAGTCAAACAGGTTTGGATACAAATGAAACTGAATTAATGTCTTGTTTTTGGGTGAAGTAACCCTTTTGAAACATGCATACTGGGCTTGAACTTGAATTAAGTGGTTTCACATCGTTTGCGTGTGAACTTGGCACACAGTTTTGTTTTAGCTTCATCATGAATGAGTCAGCCACTGCCAGAGTTCAAGAAAGTAATTAAAATGTGTTGCAAGTTTGAAATGCCTGGGTCAAAACAATACAAGAGATTCTGCAGAAACACAGTAATGGAGAAGTCTTGCCTTACCCAGTGTAACCGCCCTCTGAATGTGAGGAACTAGATACATCTGTGAGAAAAAAAAAAGTGGTTCTTGAGTATGTGATTACAAGAGCAGAGTAAGTGTACAAGTACTCCACTTACATTTTAAACTTTTAAATTATTGTGGGGTAGAAAAAGAGGGTTTATTTATGTCCCCAGGATTCTTTGATGAACAGAAAGTCAAACATAATAGCATTTGGTTGAAAAAGAAGCATTATGAATACAGTCAAGCCTGAAATGATTCATACCCCTGGCCAGTTCTGACTTAAAGTTTTCATTCATTCATTTCCTTCGGCTTAGTCCCTTTATTAATCACCATAGCTGAATAAACCGGCAACTTATCCAGCATATGTTTTACTCAGTGGATGCCCTTCCAGCCACAACCCGTCACTGGGAAATACCCATACACTCTCATTCACTTCATGAAATTTAGCTTAACCAATTCACTTATACCACATGTCTTTGGTCTTGTGGGGGGAACCGGAGTACCCGGAGGAAAGACTTTATAGTTTTGTTAATATATATATATATATATATATATATATATATATATATATATATATATATATATATATATATATATATTAGTATAATATAAATAAAAGCTGAGAACTTATTATCTTCTGGGAGAAGCCTGTGTCATTTCTGGTCAAAAACAAAACTTTCTGGTTGAATAGAAGTCAGTAAGTCAGAATTTGCCAGGGTTATGAATCATTTCAGGCTTGACTGTATACTGTATATATCTATTAAAGAGAAAACTTAAGAATGCTTAGTTCATCTGGATTTACAAGGCATGGGCTTGAGTAAAATGCTAATCTTTGTTTTACTCTACCAATTTCTGATGATAGTTTCTTCAAAACTTTGATCAAACTACTGGAATTTAAAGCTTTTGTTCATGAAATTGATTAAAATAACAAATCTTTTCATTTACTGTGATTGAAAATCAGGGTTTTTATTACTCTTCTGAAGTTAAAACATTGACACTGAGTCTCAAAATGACTATGAACATGTCTGTAAAACATGGCAACTTCCCAAATGAGAACATTGTTGATTTTACAGTATATTGAGAAGAAATGCTATCAGTTGTAAGACAGAATAAAACAAACATGATGGTTTACTCAAACTCACAATATACTGTACATTTTCACATATACTGTACATGACAATACAGTCTTACCATACATAAGACACCCACTAAAAGTGATACATTTGTTTATATAGAAAAAAATCTTGTCTGCCATATTTACAAGAATCATTTAGTGAAATATTATAAAAACAAAATGTAAATAAATTGTCATTTTAAATCACAAGTTGTCATTCATAATTGTCACTTTAAATTAAAATCGCCACCATCCATCAAATCACTAAAATTTCTTAATTTGTATCACTTAAAATTTCTATTATTATTTTGTATTATCACTAATTCTTTTATGCAATTATTTTAATACCAGAATATATGTGTTGCTTATTATTATTATTATTTTTTGCACACAGATGGTTAAAAGCAAAAGAGGAAAAAGCTATTCCCATAGATGAGCACTAGGTGGCGGTACAATGCAGCAGGAGAATTGCTAACATTCAAACACAACTGAAGCTATGATGAAGCACTCGTGAAGAACTCAACACAACACTACTGAAGAGAAAAATCACAGAGTTTTGTTGTGGGGAGAATTCTTAACTTACCAGGGAAGACAAACTGTTGTCTATGCTGAAAGTAGCAGGCAGCTAATGAACAGGGCAAACAGACAGATGTCCACAAGGACAAGAGAAAGACCGGGTTAAACAATTTGTTAGTTAAGCATCAGAAAGCTCCAGAAGGCAAGATACAGCAGGCTGTTTTTTAATGCACCTGTAACTAATTTTTTATTTAATTTTATTTTTTGCTATTTTGGCTTTTTTTATGAAGTGTTATTTCCCCTAAAAAAACTTATTTAAGTAATTGTTTTTCCTACTTTAATCAGAGTTTTACAATTACATTAGATGTTGTTAAAGTCTGAATGAGCTTTTCCTCTCCTGCACTTAATAATAAATGTCTACTTTTAAAATAAGCAATCAGCAACACTAACATACAAAAATGTTCAGTTTTCATCAGATTTGTATTCTAAAAGTTTTTATCAATGGATAAGCTCATACATAATATGCCTAATTATAAATAATGGCAACTTCTACAAAACTGTTCTTATTTTTATGGCTTTTGCCTTTTGGTTATTCTTTGAATTTTGGAGTGATAATTGATTTGGGGTGATTGGAAAGAAAGAAAGAAAGAAAGAAAGAAAGAAAGAAAGAAAGAAAGAAAGAAAGAAAGAACTAATGACAATAATAATCAAAATGAAAAAGAATGAAAATAAAGAATAAAAAGGAAAGACAAGGAGGGAAAAAGAAAAAGAAAGAAAGAAAGAAAGAAAGAAAGAAAGAAAGAAAGAAAGAAAAAATGAAAAGTAAGAAAAAGAAAAAAGAAAAAAATGAATGAAAGAAAAAAGAACAAAAGAAAAAGGAATGAATATGAATATAGAAAAAAGAAAAAAGAATGAAAAGAAAGAAAAAGAAAAAACGAAAGAAAGTAAAGAAAGAAAGAGAAAGACAGAAAGAAAGAATAAATGAAAAGAAGGAAAGAATGAAAGAAAGAAAAGAAAGAAAAAATAAAGAAGAATGAAGACAGTAGGGATGCAAAGAAAAGGAAAGAAAGAAAGAAAGAAAGAAAGAAAGAAAGAAAAAGAAAGAAAAGAAAAAAGAAATGAAAAGAAAAGAAAAGAATGACAAGAAAGAAAGAAAAGAAAACAGAAAGAATGAAAAATGAAAACAGAATGAATGAATGAAAGAAAAAAAAGAGAAAGAAAAGAAAAAAATGAAAAAAAGAAAGAATGAAAAGAAAAGTAAGTAAAGAAAAGAAAGAAAAAAGAAAGTAATAAGAACGAAAAGACAGAAAGAAAGAAAAAAGAAAGAAAGAAATAAGAATGAAAAGAATAAAAAGAAAAAATGAAAAGACAGAAAAAAATGAAGACAGAAAGAATGAAAGGAAAAGAAAAAGAAAGTAAGGATTTTTTAAACCTGACTTCATCCTTGTTCAGATTTTTGTGTTAGAAATGTATGCAAATAGTAGTTTCAATAAACAATGTCTTATTTGCATATTTAAACAACATTTGAGAAAACTTGTAAAAAAATAAACATATATTTTTTTACATAAACTAAATGTTTACATAGATTTATCATACATAAATGTACAAATATTAAATATGATAAATCTTGATAAATAAGTAATAAATATTAGCTTATTTCATTGAAACATTTGTCTCCACCATTTGCCTGCAGTGTCTTTCCTTCAGTGATTTATTTAGTAATGCGCTGCTGTGGGAAGATATTAGTGGGTTAATATTCATTCACAGAAGAGGTTATTACTGATCATTAGAGCACAGGCAGAAATCAATGTCATCTATAGATTCAGGCAGGTGAAAAAACTCTGTAGTATCTGTGTAAATGAGTCTGACCTGGGAAGTGAAAGCGGCTGTCAGCTGAGCCCTTGGGCGAGGGGTTTGGTGGAGGGGTGGCACTCAGGGGGTTGCTCTGGCCAAAGGGAGCGGGTGAGGAGGGGGTAGAGGAGGTGGTGGAGGATGGGTTACTACTGGAGTCCAGGTGACTCAGTGATGGAGGGTGATCCTAAATGAAGGGACACGAATGTTAAAGGCCATTTTACCCAGAAAATAAAGTGAAAAGACGAGTGCCTAAAACGTTTAAAACTTATTAGAAAATAGCTTTATATTTTTAATAAGAAATCTAATGGGTAGTCAGTCACTAGGAACATCAAATATAATTGTTAATAAATAATTAAATAAATAAATATTGACGATAGGTTCCATTGAAAAGCGTGATCTATAAAGAAGTTGTTTATTATCATTGTTTTATTACATTGTAGGTTTTATTATTAATGTTAATTGTTTTGTTTATGTGTTATTTACATTTTATTATTTAAACGTTTTAGTAATTTGTTTTTATTTAGTATTTCATTATTATTATATAAATGAAAGAGAGAATTATATAATACTACTACTAATAATAATAATACTAATACTTCTACTAATACTAATACTACTACTAATAATAATAATACTAATAATAATACTATTTATACTGCTACTACTAATAATAATAAAAATAATAATACTAATAATATTAATATTTATAATACTAATAATACTAACACTAATAATAATAGCCGGCAGCTAGCTATCTGCAACTCTCACATGGTCACCCACTGAAACTAAGCAGGAATGCGCCCGGTCAGTACCTGGATGGGAGACCACATGGGAAAGAAGGAGATAATAATAATACTAATAATAATACTAACATTACTACTATTAATAATAATACTAGTATTACTACTAATTCTGCTAATACTACTACTACTTCTAATAATAATAATAATATTAATACTTATAATGCTAATGCTTATAATACCAATACTAATACCACTACTTATAATACTACTAATAATGATAATACTACATATAATACTAATACTAATAATAATACTAACACTAACAATACTAACACTAACAATACTAACACTACTACTACTAATAATAATAATAACAATAATAATATTAAAAACACAATATTTTTATTGTACAAAAACAATATTATTATTATTATTATTATTATTATTATTATTATTATTATTATTATTATTATTATCATTATTATTATAGAGGTAGTACACATAAGGAGTACATGCCTTCTTGTTTATGGCCTTTGGTAATGTCCCGTACTGCTGAGATTCTGCCGGTCGCTCAACCTGGTTGTTGATGCCTGACGGTACAGACTCTGTTCTTCTGATCTTATTTGGGACTGAAAAAAAAATGCACATATCTTTAGATCATCTGCAGCACAAGTCATATTACAGCTTGCACCAAATCTTACATTGTGCAAATGAAATCCTGCACTTAGGGGCTTCTTTGGTACATTTGTTGTGGCACTTCACCCTACAAGAGACAGAAGCAAACATTAGAAGGAGACATCGGGGAATAAGATGTGTTTTTTTCACTAAAATGGCCAGATTATTTACTTACTTGCAATGTTTGCATTTAACACCAAACATCATGTTCTTCTTGCACACCTGACACGTCTGAGACAACCACGACTTGGTGGAAAACCTTTGAGGAGGCACCAAAAAATAAAATCAGTCAAACTGTATTTTGAAAAGCAAAGAGGGGTTTATAACAGAAAAATAAACAGTGTGTACCTGTGTGTGACATCCAGGCCGATGTCTTTTCTCATGACTAGCGGAGAGCTTCCGTGAGTCGTAACATTATCTGTGCAATGGTACAGAAATTCAGATTACACTCAAAATGAATTCAGCTGAGTTTTGTGTTAACGTTATGCTAAGCAAATTTTGTGATGAGCAGAGAAAGTATAACAACACTATATATCAGCTGTCTGGAGTCAATGTTGCTCTTCATGGTTGCATTTTTAAATCAATATATTCATTCATTCATTCATTCATTCATTCATTTATTCATTTTCCTTTGACTTGGAGCCTTTATTCATCAGGGGTTGCCACAGCGGAATGAACTGCTAACTTATCCAGCATGTTTTACACAGTGGATTCCTTTCCACCTGCAACCCAGTAATGAAAAACATCCATACACGCTCATTCACACACACAGGAAAATTATACAAAAGTAAGTTGTCATGAATAAACTAAAAAAAGCCCCGAAGATGAAGAAGGCATGGAGGCAGTGGTTTTTATATTTATGTAGAAAGTAATCATTTTTAATAAAATTTTAATCCTTTAATTCTTCTTCATGTGTAAAGATATTTGTGTGTACATCCTGCGTGTTTGAAGCAATGTGTAAGTGAGGCGTACAACTAACGCGATCTGCGACAGACTTTAGACCTGCTTTCTGCTGGTCTATTGCAGGGTCTATTTTAGTTCCTCAAAATAGCACCGCGACAACAATGCACCTTAACACACCTCTTTTCTGGACGGAAACACCCATGAGTCCACAAAGTGGCGCAAATGGATTTACTATTTAAACAACATGGCGCAAAATGGGAAAATTAAGATTGCGTTGGTCTGAAAATAGCAACATGACAGGGTAAACACGTCTTGCGCCTTATTGCGGAGGCTGTATGATAGGGCCCCTACGTTACATCATTAGTTACATCCTTGCTGATGAATTTAATTTCCTAATTAGTTTTTTTGTCCATTTTTATCAGAATATTTTATATTTAAAGTGTGTTTGCATATAACCTTTTCATCTTTTATGTATTTGAAATGATGTTTGGCAATATTGGATTACTTGTTTTTGTTGTAAGTCAACTTTGGGTGTCTTGAAAGGTGCAATTTATTTAAAAAAAATTTATTATTATTATTGAAAAAAAACATTATTATTATATATTATATTTATTTATTAATTTTTTACTGACCCCAACAACATGTATATAGTTTATGTAAAATGTAAAAGCATTTTACAATTATGCACATCTGGAGTTCATTTCTAAATCAATAGTTTTATGTTTTGTGACAATTTTTTATTACATTATTTCAGCTTTAAGGTGTGTATATTACCTTTTGTTTACATTTAAAATTATGTTTGGCAATGTTTTAGTAATTGTTTTTGTTGTAAGGCGACCTTGGATGTCTTGAAAGGTGTCATTTATAAATAAAAGAAATAATAATAATAATGTTATTAATAATAATAATAATAATAATAATAATAATATTAATAATAATAATAATTATTATTATTATTATTATTATTATTATTATTATTATTATTATTATTGTTGTTGTTGTTGTTGTTGTTGTTATTATTTAAAAAAAGATATATCTCACTGACCCCAACAACATGCATATGGTTTAACAATTCAGCTCTAGAAAAACTGAAGCTGTTACTATTATGCAGTTGCATTACTTTCCTGAATAGCTTTACCCACAAAGAACGTGCAAATCTGCCTTAAAATCTGACTAAATCAACACAATGATACTGGATAATGGGTCACAATTTACAATAAGGATTCATTAGATGATGTATTTACTAACATGAACTACTAATGGCCAATACATGCACAGCATTTATTAATCAAATTCAAGCTTATTATCATTAGTTAAGGCACTGTGGAACTAACAAAGAATAACTGTATTTCCATTGACTAACATTATCATACATGAACAAATACTGGAATCAATGTATTGTTCATTGTTTGTTCATGTTTGTAAATGTATTAACCAACATCACTAACATAGGCAACTAATCCAACCTTATTGTAAAGTGCTACCGGATAATGTTGATAATGTTTTTGAAACATTGATGTTGTGATCACACTCGATGTGTCTTAAAAGTGCCATCTAGGCGTCTTTATTTTCTTTTTGTCTGAATAAAAAACTCTTACTTCTGAGAGCTGCAGGGTCTGTCAAGTGGCTGGGTGTGTTTGGTGGGAGACAGGGCGAGCGGGCAGACAGCAGCGGTGATCGAGATGGTGAATCCTCCCATCCGTTTGCTCCACCGTTCACCTGCACGTTTAGGAGAGGCTTGTTCTTCTTCCCACTCCTGCAGGTCAGAGGAAAAAAACACTGCATTTAGTGTATGGGAAGCAATAAATAAACAATTAAGAACATTAGACTGTATATTTAGGGTGGCATGGTGGCTCAGTGGTTAGCATTGTCGCCTCAAAGCAAGAAGATCGCTGGTTTGAGTCCCGCAGTATGGAGTTTGCATGTTCTCCTCCTGGGTGGTCCGGTTTCCCCCACAGCCCAAAGACATGCACTATAAGTCAATTGGGTAAACTAAAATAGCACTGGGTTACATCCGCCGTGTAAAACATACGCTACAATAGTTGGCGGTTCAATTCTTCTGTGGTGTCCCCTGATGTTAGACTGATTTTAAACAAAATTGTATAAGCAGGTCACAGTTTCTCCCAAAACATTGTAGCAATTCTGCTTTCAGAAGCCACTATTGAGGGGAGGATTTTTTCATTATTCCTGTAAACTGCTACAAAGACGTGATTCACATCTTCCTCTAAACCACATTTGGTTTACTTCTAAACCACATTGTTAGCTTCTCAGGTGATTTCCACATATAGGATTTTATGCATAATTCTGATGATGAAGGATAGAATTATGTCCCCTGACAGAAGCAAATTCAAAACATGACCCAGATGTTTCCTGCTACATGTGTAGGTGTTTCATGACATCCAAACAGCGAACAGAAAACTGTGAATATTTTATGACACACCCAATCATCCAGAATGATCTAGAAATTTATTTATGAACATTTCCTAGTTAAAATGCATTTTTAATGCCTCATTTCGTAATTAAACATTTTGACATCTGAATGCTCTTATTATATACATAAGTGCATCACAGCTTATTTAAACATTTTATATACATCATTTTTTGTCCTTATTTTGTGAAAAACAACTGCATGTGTCGAAAATGTTGATATTTTGAATCCTACTTCATGGTAATATTAGTTTTTTGAAGATGCACGGTTATGCAATTAAAATAACGAATTAACAATTAGCAAAATAATAATTATATTTAGATTAATTATGTTTATTTCTTAAATCAAAGATCAAACTAAATTCATTTATTCAAGAATTTTCCTTTGACTTAGTACCTTGTTCATCAGGGGTTGCCACAGCGGAATGAACCACCAACTGTTCCAGCATGTTTTACACAGCAGATGCCATTCCAGGTGTAACCCAGTATTGGGAAACACCCAAACACTCTCACAATTACACATACACTACGGTCAATTTAGTTTCTTCAATTCACCTATAGGACATATCTTTGGGCTTGTGGGGGAAACCGGAGCACCCGGAGGAAACCCACGCCAACACGGAGAGAACATGCAAACTCCACACAGAAATGCCAACTGGGACAAGCCGGGACTTGAACCGGTGACCTCCTTGGTGTGAGGCGACAGTGCTGACCACTGAGCAACTTAACTTTAAATGGAATATTTAAACATTTCTTAGTTAAATTATACATGTTTAATACCTCATTTTGTGATTTAACCCAACTATTTTGCCATCTCAATGCTTATTATATGGATAAGTGCATTAAAGCTTATAGACATTTATCATATGCCATTTTTTATTCTTATTTTGTGAAAAACAACTGCAAGTGTGGGAAATGTTGATATTTTGAAACTCTTCTTGAGGATGATATTAGTTTGTTTTTTTGCACATCAGATTTTTACAAAATGCAAGACTGTCTAATTAAAATAACAAATTAATAATTAGTGACAATTGAAAAATGATAATAATATTTGGATAATTTTCTTAAATAAAAAAATAAACATTTAAATTTAAATTAACTATAATAAATGATTATACTGATGATTAAACTAATAATTATACTGACAATTCAATTTCATTACTATTCAATTCAAGTTTATTTGTATAGCACTTTTCACAATAACTATGTATAAACAGTGTTGGGGGTGGTGCATTACAGGTTACGTGAGTTACGTAATATTTTAAGTAATGATGAGTAAAGTAATGCATTACTTAAGTAATAATATTTGAGTAACTTTTTTCAAAATATAATGAGATTTACTTTTTAGTTTAATTAATTGCTTTTAAAAATAAATTGCTGATTTCAAATAAAAGTGGTCACAATGAGTTGCGCACTTGAGAGAATGTGTTTATTATTTTCATTATGTTCAACATCAAAGAAAAGGAAAAAGTTATTGTGGGGATTTGTCTAATTTTACTTCAGAAAAGAAGTACAAAATTAGCAAACACATTGCTTTAAACTTTTTAATAATCTGTATATCTCTGGTGTAAGGAAGTTCTCAGATAACATTATCCTAAAAAATTATTTTTTGATGTGTTTTTTAAAGGAAAATGTAGGTGAATGTTATACAGTGTGCTGTTAATTGCAGAGCTTCTCTATTAAAAAAAGTTCTAAAAAAGAGATCAAGTCTAAGCAAGTTAATAAAAAGAAATGCAAAAATAACTCAAAAAACACATTACTTACTATAAAAAGTAATGCAACTAGTTACTTTTTTTGGGAGTAACTCAATATTATAATGCATTACTTTTAAAAGTAACTTTCTCAAACACTGTGCACAAATATGTAATATAATATACAACTATTAAAATAACACATAATAATAAAATTATGTGATTATTGAAGGAAGATGGTCGTCATGGTGGTGCAGTGGGTAGCACGATCGCCTCAAACCAAGAAGGTCGCTGGTTCGAGCCTCGGCTGGGTCAGTTGACGTTTCTGTGTGGAGTTTGCATGTTCTGCCTGTGTTCGCGTGGGTTTCCTCCGGGTGCTCCGATGTCCTCCACATGAGGAGAAATGTGGAATAGGTGAACTGGTTTAAGCTAAATTGTCTGTAGTGTATGTGTGTGAATGAGAGTGTATGGATGTTTCCCAGTGATGGGTTGCAGCTAGAAGGGCATCCTCTGCGTAAAACATATGCTGGATAAGTTGGCGATTCATTCCGCTGTGGCAACCCCAGATTAATAAACAGACTAAGCAGAAAAGAAAATAAATGAATGAATGAATGCAGATACTGTAAATTGAAACAACATGAACTGAGTATTGTAACTGCAGAACCATTCAAAATGCATTAGTCAAAGCCCCCAAAAAATCCCCAAAACAAACACAACTTCATGTCATAATGCTTATTATCACAAGCAGCTTTTAAATGGAATTATAACAACGCAAGCAAACATAATTCCCAGAAAGCTTCCCTAATGACTCACTCTGTACCTCCCGGCAAGAAACCTTTCTATAGTACACAAAATAAACACACATCTGCAGCTTGTCCACCACAAACATTTCAAAAATGTGCTAAAAATGCGGGCGTGCAGCTTTACAGGCAAGGAGCTGGACTTGAGTTCACACTGATTATGAGGAGGAGCTGGATTCGTGCAGACATTTACTGGCTCAGAGAGGAGCAGGAATGATCCAGCATGGGACGCCAGCAAGTCTGAGAAGGGCTCTGACCTCGGTCTTGTGCTAACGGGAAACACTGGGGCTGCATAAAGGGGCGGAAGGACGGACGGAGTGCTGAACTGCACTGCCCTCTTCCGAAATCTGTGTTCTCGGATGACACCCTAGCTCATGCCAACACACACACACACACACACACACACACACACACACACACACACTCGCTGGGCAGGGTGACACAGTTTGGTACATATTTGAACAGCAAGAACTACAACAATATAGCCTGTATTTCTACACTTATGCTGCCGGGCAAGAAAACAATCCCACATAATTTGCTGAGTTAAGCAAGTTTTTACGTGAAGCAAATGTTGTGCAATGTATTACGGAAAGTCTTATTTACAGAGTCAGCATCCTGCTCTTTTTTATTTCACATGTGCTGTCATTATTAAAGATCACTATTATCACTATTTATTGTTATAGTTGCAATTGTTTTTAAGAAAATCTTTACCAATATTAATATCTATAAAGAAAAGCACCATCATAAAAGTGACTTAATTAAAACAGAACAATGCAAACTCTCTAAAATCATACAATAGATTGACATTGGTGGTCTAAATGGTTGTAAAAATTATGACTTTAATCTATTTTTTTAATTTCTACATGCATGTTGCAAGCCAAGAAATCAATCAATTGATGAGTTTCAATGTGCTTTCAACATTAGTGAAACTTTGATTTAAAGATTCAGCATCCTGCACATATTTCAATAAATTCAACAAGTTAAAACGTGCAATGCAATTTGCTAATGCACGCGAGGAACACTCGGTTCAAATATTCAAAAATGCTACTGATGTGCTAAAACATGATAGCGTAAAGATCAATGCATGTTAACGCTTAAAAATGATTATTTAAAATATGAAGGTGTCCAACCAAAACTAAAAGCATCCCATTAATTTAGTAATGTGCACATTTTTATGACAGGCTGGAGGTATTTGCTTTTACAAATACTGCAAACTTGCTGGAGAGGTTGCAGGAATGGGAATGACACACATATATTTAGGGAATGTCCAAAGGTACTTGCATTTTGGCAAGGGGTAAAGATCTATATTTTATTCTTTTTTTTTTCTTGCTTGAAGGCATACCCCAGGATGTACAGTTGAAGTCTGAATTATTAGGCCCCCCCCTGTTTATTTTTGTCCACAATTTCTGTTTAACAGAGAGAAGATTTTTTTCATCACATTTCTAAACATAATAGTTTTAATAACCCATTTTTTAATAACTGATTTCTTTTATCTTTGCCATGATGACAGTCAATAATATTTACCAAGATATTTTTCAAGGCACTTCTATACAGCTTAAAGTGACATTTAAAGGCTTAACTGGGTTAATAGGGGTAACTATGCAGGATAAGGTAATTAGGCAAGTTATTGTATAACAATGGTTTGTTCTGTAGACTATCAAAAAAAAAAAAAAAACATTAGCCTAAAGGGGCTAGTAATTTTGTCCTTAAATTGGTGTTTAAAAAAATAAAAACTGCTTTTATTCTAGCCGAAATAAAACAAATAAGACTTTCTCCAGAAGAAAAAATATTATCAGACATACTGCAAAAATTCCTTGCTCTGTTAAACATTATTTGGAAAATATTTAAAAAAGAAAAAAAAAATCAAAGGGGGGCTCATAATTCTGACTTCAACTGTATATAATAAAAACAGGAGATATACTGTTATACTATACTTTTACTTTAGATATTTTATATGTAACTGTTACTATGTATCTGAACAAACTGAAAATGATGTATGTGTCTTTCAGTTATTTGATTTTATTTACTGGCAGTGTTACTTGTTTAGTTTTTCTTTTTTTTTCAATAGCCGCTGCTGTCACTGAATGTTTTGTTTTGAAAAAATGTTTTAATGTATAAAAATAAAGTAAAAAAAAGTTTTCTCAGACCAGAATCAAAGTCTTAATGAGTTTTTATCTACTTTAAAGTTTTTATTACATTTTTTTTGTCACACTTGTTATATAGAATGATTGAAAAGTTTAGTCTGTTCCTCACACAAAAGGATCTTCAAACGTCTTTGAATTAAGCACACAAATCATACTGAATTTTCAAAGCTCAAAAGCTTCCATTCTAATTGCATAAAAAAGTGGCAACATGAGAGTGACTATCATTGTTTCATGAACAGTTCCTGCTTGTCTTCAAACTTTTGATGCGAGTTTAGATGTGATTCAGTCATAAAATAACTATAACATAATAATAACTAATATAATACATAACTAGGCCCACGCTGAATCTGCGCAGATTTCCGGAGATTTTTAGTCTATGTATTTACTTGTGTAAATGTGTGTCAATTTAGATTTATTCAGTTTTTAAACTTATTTCATTAATATTATTGTTTTATAATAATAGTAATATGAAATTGTTCATATCATTTATTTAACATTTAATTTGAAAAGTAATATTTTCTGTCTTTTGGTAGATATATTACATAAGAAACTTGCCAAATAAGTGGATCTAATTGGATTTGCATTGTAAATATTAAATAAAAGTTCAAAAGGTATTATTTTTATTATTTCATATATTACGTTTTTAGTTACAACACCCCTAAAATCATTACGCAATTATCTACAGATTTTTTACAAAATTCTCAGCAGAAATAGCAAAAAATGTCTGCAGATTCTGTCTGGCCCTGATCATAACTAATGTTAACACAGCTGTCATTAAAAAAATTATCAATATGTAGAGCTTTCTGGATTCTTAGAAGCTATATGGAAATTAAAAATCTGAAACGGGAAATACATTAGGACCATTGTTACTGTTAACATCCCTCAAAATGATCTATACAAATCACCATATTTTGACCACCTGCATAATGATGATGACTCTATGAATATTGTTCATCAACTTTAACACAGATATGAAAAAATGAAAAGTCAGCATTTAATCTTGTACAGTCTTAAGCCTGTATGTTGCTGTTTGTCCTGACACAGTCTAAAGAAGAGTTTCTTATTCTTCAGATTTTATCTTTAAATAACCTCACCCTTCAGATAAAGCATATTCCATTCTCATATCGCATGCATTACTGCATGACTGTATCATGCGGTAAGTGTTTCTGAGAATATGACATCATGCTTACAGTATTAGGTTGTATCCTAAAGGAGAAAAAAAATTTTAATCGATAAATAAAAGAGGCCGAAGTCCAAACGTTGTTTTTCTGTGACACACACAATTGACAGCTTTAATCGTATGTCATATATAAAACTGCAAAAAAATTATAACTATAAAAAAAGGATGCATGAAATTAATCAGAAGTGACAGCAAAGATTTTTTTATATAATGTTATTTATTTTAAACTTTCTATTTATGAAAACAAATTAATATAAAGAACATTTTAAATATAAAAAGAATATGTATAAATGTGACACACTGAAGAAAAGAGAAGTGGTTTGTGAAAATTCAGCTTCATCGCCAGAAAAAGAAATTGGATTTGAAAATGTAATATATTTGAAAATTTAAAAAAAGAAAACTGAGACTTTTTCCATTTCCAATCTTTTTGTGGGCCCCAGATTGTGAAACTGTCTACCTCTTTCTATCAGAATAATCTCTACAGCAGTGGGGTTGCGAGGGGATTTGTCGCAAGGCAAGTGTTAAAAATATCCGGCCACTACACTGTCATCATTCATTCATTATTCTGAGGAACTGAAGCTGAGGTAATAATACAACTGTTTCGCGAAACTGAATAGTTCTAACTACTGATGAAACTTAAAATTTGTTTTCATAGGATAAAATGTGTGTAGTTTTGGTGAAAGAAAATAACTGTAATCAGTAAAATGTGCGTCATATTAATGTAAATACATGCAAATTATTCAAAAAAATGCTAATTGTACTAGCTCTCTAGATTATATAGAATGAATGAAACAGGCATTACATGCATTTAAAGTGGCACAATGACCAAATCACCCTATTTTGAGAAAAACTGAAGAATAAAAATCTATGTCTAAAGAAATGTAAAGAAATGGGTTATATTGCAGGGTGAATTTCTTCGTTTTTTTCATGTTTTTTTTATACTAATACAACCAGCGAAAATGATTGGATGTTAAAATACTTGTTCGAATTCACAGAAGCAGTACTAATAAAAAAAAAAAAAATATATATATATATATATATATATATATATATATATATATATATATATATATATATATATATATATATATATATATAAAAGGGTATTTTTATTGTAGAACTTTTACAAACGTATAATTTGAATATAACACCTTTGCAATCCAGTTCTATAAATCTGAGTCTTCAATAATTCACTTATTAATGATTCCTACTTGTCTTCCTCGTGATGAAGAGTAAGCAAAATTAGATATGTAATGGGTAAAAAAAAAAAACTGCATTTTTTTCCCCCCTCACAGGGGCCCCAAGTGAGCACAGGCCCTGGGCCTGTGCCCATATCGCCAATTGGTTAATACGGCCATGGCCCCTCATCCCTTTCGACCCTAGCAATGCCCCTGCTCTAAAGAATCCATGGTTAGGGAAAATTGAAACATCACCTTTTAGAAAAGGCTTTTAATAACTCAGTTCTCTGAGCTTGCTGTTTTCCGTTTCATGTATTGTGTGTTGTTTTATTCCTTTGACCTTATCCGATTGTTTTTATACAATTTGTGTACAGCGCAATGGTCAACAACTGTTGTTATATTGTGCTTTATAAATAAAGTACCTAAACTGTATTAAAGTAGAAAGGTTTTTGCTGTACTTCCTTTCATTTAAATGTTTTTTTTTCAATCGTCAGTTTTATTATAAAATAATTTAAACAAGTGCTGGGATAACAGTTACATAGCTGAAATATAAACACTGATGTCTGCAGTCCAAAAGCAGCTTGATTCGTCAATGCCAGAATGACATGCAATAATTAATTCAATAGATTCTTCAAAAATGCTGATTCATCCAGTAATGAAACACGCAAAGTCTTTAAAGAGTGAGGTACTGAATCATTTCTTCAAACTGAGACCAAGAAAAAAATAATTTAAATTCATTATTTCCTTCAGCTTAGTCCTTGAATTATCAGAGGTCGCCACAGCAGAATAAACTGCAAACTTTTTTGACATTTGTTTATGCAGTTGATGCCCTTCCAACCGCAACCCAGTACTTGGAAACACCCATCCCACACACACTCATTCACACACACACACACTCTTACACTACGGCCAATTTAGTTAATCCAATTCACTTATAGCGCATGTCTTTGGACATACATGTGAGTAGGCTTGACAAACCACCTGTAGGAACACTGTAGAAACACTCTTCCTGACTTCCCTGTGCAGCCATTTTGCTGTTGTAGATCTTGTATTCTGGGAAATTTTCGCACCCCGTGGTTTCGTGGTCCTGAAAAATCTCAATTTCAAGGGCTATCTAGCCCTTCCCCTTAGCCCTATGCCTTCAAGATAAAGAGAATTGGGACACCCGTATACGTGAACATGCAAAATGAGGGGTAGGGGTAAGGGGAAGGCCTAAGGGGTACAATTGAGTTTGGGCCTTTATCTAAACTCCATCTTACAAGGACTCAATAAGAAAAGCTATGTTTATAATAAATGTACCATAATCATGTTGCGCTGCTTACTTCAACCTTAAATACTCGTGTAAAAGTACTTGTATAGCCTGTCTTATGTGTATAGATAAGTAACTTATAGTATATGTTAGATATGCACAAGTTTTTAAAATAGCTCTTATGTCCAGTGTTGTGTTCGTATTAATGATATATTTATGTAGCACCGTTGTCCTGCGAGACACAACATTTCAATCCTCTGTATTTCCACACATGTAGCGGAATGACAATAAAGCTAAACTTGACTCTCATCTCCAAAAAACAAGATTATTTTTTGCTTAATGCCACACACCGCTACTCTTATGCAGATTAAAAAATACTGTACTTACTTGTTGGGTGTCAGGTCGTCGATGCGGTTGGCCAGCTGGCTCTGGCTCTTGCTGCGGGTGAGTGTGATGCTGGGCAGGAGGTTTAGCAGCTTGCGGGATGGAGGTGGAGGAGTTCGTGAAGGTTTGAGCTTGCCGTATCTTTTGGGTGGTGGGGTGACTGGAGGAGTGGACAGCAACCCTGAGACATTGCAGTTAAGCTGTGGGGAGGATGAGAAGGGGTCTGTCAGCCCATCACAGCGGGTGTAGACAACCACTGGGAAATCTGAGGGAGGGAGAGTGGAAACGGACACACAGGAGCGAAGCCGGGGTAAAGCTGATGGAGAAGGCCAGCTGGTGGGCTTGAGACCGTAAGACGTAGCACGCATTGAACAGGAAAGAGGGTCAGCAGAGGTGCTGTCGTGCTCAGTGGGGTCTGCTATCCACGGGATGCCCTCTTTTTTAAGTCCCACACCTACAATGAAAACAGTGACAGATTTTAGGATGACATAAAAGCAGGTGGAGGATCAAATAAAAATAAAAAAATCATCACTTACCTTCCACTTGTCACAAAGAAGATATATTGATGAATGTTGGAAACAGGCGAATTCTGACTTCAATAGAATTTTTTTTCCTACTAGGGATGTCCATTACTACTGATTTACAACATTCTTCAAAATATCTTCTTTTGTGTTTAACAGAAGAAAGAAACTCGCAAATGTTTGGAACAAGTATGTGTTGAGTAAATCAGTGATTCTCAACCAGTGGGTTGTGGTTTCCCGTTTAATGTACTGAATAGGTTAATTTGGAATCTATACAAAAACAGCCTCACTGTTAAATACAATCATCACTGTTGCTAAAACTTTAAACAGCTGCACATCAACTAGCACTACATTCTCAGTTGTATAAATCAAACCATCATGCAAATCTAAAGGTAACAATGGTTATGAGTTATAACCAGTTTTGTGAGACTTCAAAATATCTGCATAATTGTCCAAATTAATGTCATGTGAGTGTTTTATAATGGACGTGCACCCGTACAGTAGGATCCAGTGAGATTTGGTTATGTTTCAGTACTGAACAGCAGTTCACTGTTCCTGTCAGCGAACTCCAATAATATTCAGCCGCAAACCATTCAAATTGATGTGTTTAACAGATTTAGTGTTGTTACTGTATTTTACATTTCTTTGTTTATCTTTAATGGATATAAATAGTATATCAATAGATGAACAGCAGTCAGTCTAATTCAAAGCAGCAGCAGTTTTTTTGCCATCTCCTGTTGTCCTGTCAGGTTAATTTATTGAGGAAAAGGCCCAAATACTCTAGCTATAAAGAATAACTGAAGTAAAGAAATCAGGAGCTTTGAATACATGTAAAAAAATGCTAATAAATAAACCTTTGAAATAAGCATTTTCTACAGATAATCAGTTTGGGCCTTCAAAAAATTTTGGGAGAAGAAGCCTCGAAGTGAAAAATTATGAGAAACTCTGGAGTAAATGACAAAAAAAAAATTTCTAAATGTATTGTAATGTAGTATTATAGTCTTTTAAAAATTATTTTATTTGTATAATATCATATTCATTTTAATCTCATTGTCATATTCATTTTAATCTCATCTCATGTGCATCTGTCATTTTTTTTTAGGTATTATATATATTATCATGTAGCCGCAATAATTTTATTTATTTATTTACATTTTACAGTAGTAATAATTATTATTGCTATAGTTTTCATTTTAGAAAATGCTGTAGTTTAGTAATTTTAATGTGATGTCTGACTTTACTTCAGTTTTTGCTGCTTTATCAGGGGCTCCCACCACGGAATGAACCACCAATTACTCTGGCAAACATTTTACACAGCGAAATGCAAACCAAAGCAACATTTAAAATGTTAGTTTTCATGTAAAATATATGCAGTTATTCTGATGTATACAAGTCTCAATTATTAGCCCCCTGTTTATTTTTGCCCCAATTTCTGTTAAAAGGAGAGAAGATTTTTTTCTGCACATTTCTAAACATAATAGTTTTAACAACTCATCTCTAATAACTGATTTCTTTTATCTTTGCCATGATGACAGTACATAATATTTGACTAGATATTTTTCAAGATACTAGTATTCAGCTAAAGTGCAATTTAAAGGCTTTACTAGATTAATTTGGTTAGACAGGAAGGTTAGGGTAATTAGGCAAGTTATTGTATGTTGATGGTTTGTTCAGTAGACTATCGAAAAAATATATACCTTAAGGGGGCTAATAATATTGACATTAAAATGCCTTTAAAAAAAATCAAACTTCTTGTATTTTAGCTGAAATAAAAGAAAAAAGACTTACTCCAGAAGAAAAAATATTATAGGAAATACTGTGAAAATTCCCATGCTCTATTTTAAAGAAAAACAAATGTAAAGGGGGTTCAATAATTCTGACTTCAACTGTATATTATTTTTTATTTATGCTTTATGTAAATAAACAAAAATAATTTCACTGATATTGCCAGTTCATTCCACTGTGGCGACCTCTGATAAACCAAGGACTAACCCAAAGGATAGCGATCGAGTGAATTTCACCAAAGTAACATCTGCTATAATAAACTGTAAATTTGCTGTGATTTTATATGCGTTATTTTATTATTTTTTAAAATCATTTTACTTTCATCTTACATTTTTTTAATATATTTTAAAATGTTAAAGTTAAAGATGCACAAACGCTTTTGACCACAGTGTCAGACAGACTGTAACAAGAGTCCCGAAACACATTTGCAGCCAATCTGCAGTAAGAGGCGTGTCAAGTAACTTGTAATCAAAAGAGAGTGAGGTTTTCTGTTTTGCTTTGGTGCTTTCAAACATCAACATCATTAAGCGGTGAACAGTGACCTGTGTCAGTAGCGCTCTTGAGGCAGGAGAGGGCAGCCGTGATACGGGAACACTCTTCACTGCTGGAGCCCAGTCTCTTCATGTTCTCTTCCACCTGGCCACTGGACATCTGCAGCAGGGCATCCAGAGAGAGCTTCACAGGGACTGCCTGAACACAGAGTACAACCATCAGTAATGGACGGCAAAGGTGGACAACATGGGGGGGAAATCTGACATGAGTTATAGCAAAAATAGATATTGACTTCTTCACTCATTATTATCTTGACTGGATGGTAAATTCACGTAAATTCCCGGTAAGTTTCCAAATTATTGTAAAAATTTACAGTAAATTTTCAGCCCCTTTGCAACCTATGCATGACAACCCTAAAACAGTCAGTCAAGGTACGAGCAAAAATACTCAGCAAAATATTGTTTCATTATTATTATCAACTGCTAATGTGCCTGTAGTCAGACAGAATGGAGTCCATACACTAATTAGAGAAAGATTAGTAGATAAAGCCTGCTGAAATCCAGCCGCCGCCACTAAGACTGCTGGCATCTCATGGCACCAGACTGAGCCAGTGTCCAGATACCCCACACAGGCCAGTTTTCTCCCTCTGTCTACCATTCCTCCACCCTAAAACATTCCTGCGCTCTTTGGCGTCTCCCTGCTGTATTTCAATTCTCACCCAAAACACACACAGACGCTCTCTCTCAAACGCATGACTGAGAATCTGCCCGGCAACAGTTGTGCTTGTGGTCAATGCAGGCTCCATGGTAAATGAACAGATAACAGAGGCACATGAGCCTCATCTTTATGAAAGATTAAAATGTGTATGGAATGTCTATAGGGTAGAGAAGATTTAGGGAAGATTCAACAATGCAGAGGTTGGCTTGAATTATATTGAGAATATCGATGTATGTGGCTCTGTTTTGGTGCTGGATTGGTAATTGTTAATCAGATGGAACACTGAGGAGGATAATGTTGATATATTGTATGATTATTAAGGGTGTCACGGATCACGGTTGATCCATGACCCACGGATTAATGATTTTTGTATTTGTAGATTAATCCTAAATTTGTAAAGATCACAGAAAGATCCCCTCAAGCGTCATTTAAATCACCTGTATGAAAGCATTTTGGCTTTCCTGTAAAATATAATAATGATGGAAAAAGTTGTAGTGTGTTTTTCGGGATGTGATGGTTTTTAGGTTATTACAGGTCTTTTCTGTTACTACTTGTGTAGCCTGCATTAATGCATTCAGTGCAATGCATTCATTAATGCATTCCATTATTCTAAATAAATATGGGTTGAACAACTTATAATGTTTGATTTCTACATTTAGCTTTATCAGCAACAATAGTAGTAAAGTTCTGAATATTCAAAATACAATTTATTTTTATTCATTATTTCTTGATATTATTTTGAATAAAATTACAGGTTCTAAGTTCTGTTTTTTTTTAACCAAACGTTTCTTGCAGAACTGTTTTTGTAAAAAACTGAGAGCAAATTAAATTTGTCTCCTCCCCTTTTTGACTGATAAACAAACGGTCCGATCCATGACTAAAAAACCATAATGTGAAGCGAACCATGACATTTGTCATCTGTTACACCACTAATGAACATTCATATCATACTGCAGTATAATATATACATATTTTATATATCTGTGTTTTTTCAGTGCGGCTATTGTTAGTTAAAACTGTATTTCTAACTTTGTTTTAGAAACATTTGCAATGTTTTACCTCAGTAGTAAGACTTTTAATGACAACTGATTTCTAAAAAAAAAACAGTAAATTATATTTTTACTTGAAGTTTAGACAAAATGTCATGAATCCTTATAAATAAAACAAATATAGCAAATAAACAAAAAGACAAACAGAAACAAGTAAAAGATTTCTAGCAATTAAAATAAATTCCAAGTTGTATATATGGCAAATAACAAATAACCGACATATATACAGTTGTAGTAAGTTATTCCTATTTTTTCATTATTATCATTACTATAATTATATTTCATTTTATTTCTTTTCATAAAAAAAGAATAATCATTTAGTATTTTAACAATAAAATGTTTGTACAACATTTTTGTATTTCTAAAATGTAACCAGAGATGGGAATAACGGCGCTTTTAATAAAAGGCATTACTAACGGCTATACTTTATTCAGGAACGAGAAATTAAATGAGTTACTGCTTCCCTCTTTACCACACAGTTGCTGTTACTGACAATAAAATGTGTTACTATAATTGAGAACACTGAGGTTTTCATGTGAGCAGCATCTCTCTTAACCATAAGACCTTTCTTTCTCTCTCTGAGGTATATGTGTGTGTGTGTGTGTGTGTGTGTGTGTGTGTGTGTGTGTGTGTGTGTGTGTGTGTGTGTGTGTGTGTGTGTTCGGGGCTGGGGCGGGACACATAACCAACCAGCAATGATGATTGGTTTGTTTGTGAACGAGGTGTAACTGAGAGCATGATGGTTGGCTTAGATAAAGTACATTTTCATCGTTTGCCAATCAGAGGCTGAGTAGTGCAGGTGTTCATACACAGTCAGTCAGTACCATGACAAATGCAACAAGGTAGCGTTTGCAAACTGGAAATATAAGCACTACTTTTCCCTTAAAGTCTGTTTCATTGGGCAACTACAGTATTTATAATATTTATAATGATATGTTGAATTTGGTTGACTCTCACATTATCCTACATCAACATTAAAATAATGTAGATTAGTGTACAATGTTTTAGATTTATTTTATAGTCATTTGACTTTAGATTTTTTTTTAAGTAAAGCAATAGTTACTCAGTACAAAATATTAAAATAAATAATAAAATATATAACAAATTGTAACTCAGTTACTATTTGAGAGAAGTGAGAATAATTAGTAACTGCTGTATACTCTTTTAAAGAAACATGCCCAGCACTGAATGTAATTAGAAATAATTAAGCAATACATTTAGACAAACTGATCTTGTTTTTAAATGTAGGTACGGTGAGCTATAATTAGAAAGCTTAATTTTAAGATTAATACATTTATAAGCATGAAAAAATCTAAATCATTTACTAATCTTAGATAATCTAATTGGTAATGTTTTTTGTGATATTTAGTTGATGATTAGTTGATTATTGAAGTGATGATTAAAGGCAAAATGGAATATCCCCATATTTACATGTGATTATGTTATGTTTGCATGTGGTGGGTGTGTGCAATACGGCATATCATAAACAAGAGGAACGACCTTGTAAATGGCATGTGCGGCTCTCCAGGGAATGAAAATCTCCCAGCATCCTCATGGAGACTTCCTTTCTGAACAACAGCCAGAGATCAGATTCAAGAGCACTGATCTCCTCATGGCAAATACCAGACTACATCATGGACTCATTTAACTCGCTGCCCAAAGAACAAAAGACATGGGTCCAACACAAGATGCGTATCAAATGAAGAAGCATTATTAGAAATAAGAAGGAGTGAAGTGTTTAACTTTCAAATAACTTCTGAAAGTTAAATGTCAAAACATACAGTAATGTCTATTGCTATACAATGTGAAAGATACATTTTATGTACATAAATTATGTAAAAAAAACAACTCTACCTATTAAAAACAAATATAAAATAAATATAAATACAAAAGTAACCATGAATTTGAAATGTGAAAATAGTTTTATATTTTAAATTCTAAAAAAAACTCCTCCAGACAAATGAGTTAACCTAGTTTGAAGAATAAAAACTGTAATTAATTAGTATTTTGTGCTCTTATCCTTACATTAAGTATTTCTTACAAAACATATTTTACGTTTACACCACTGTTACACTGAATGATATTTCAATAAGTCTTTTGTAAATCAATACAAAAACAGTTTTTTTTTTAATTGCATCAGTATTTTTTAAAGCACATACACTCACTGGCCACTTTATTAGGTACACCGTACTAGTACCTTGTTGGGGCCCATTTTGCCTTCAGAGCTGCCTTAATCCTTCGTGGCATGGATTCAACAAGAAACCAGAAATATTCCTCATAGATTTTGGTCCATATTGATCTGATAGCATGACATGATGCGAATCTCCCGTTCCACCACTCCCAAAGGTGTTCTAACCAGTCTGGCCATTCTCCTCTGACCTCTGGCATCAACAAGGCATTTCAACCAACAGAACTGTCGCTCACTGGATACTTTTTACTTTTTGGACTATTCTCTGTAAACCCAAGAGATGCTCGTGCGTGAAAATCCCAGTAGATCAGCAGTTTCTGAAATACTCATACCAGCCTGTCTGGCACCAACAACCATCACATTCAAAGTCACTTAAATCATCTATCTTTCTCATTCTGATGCTCGGTTTGAACTGCAGAATATCGTCTTGACCATGATTACATGCCTAAATGCAGTGAGTTGCTGCCATGTGATTGGCTGATTAGAAATTTGCGTTAATGAACAGTTGGACGGGTATACCAAATAAAGTGCCTGGTGGGTGTCAATATCAGAAAATACATCATTATTTCTTCCTCGATAAAAATATATTAAATCTGCATTAGCTTTTTTTGATGTTTGAAATCTCCTTTTCATCTTTGACCCAAATATCATCTTGAGTTGAGTCTAAACACCAAACCAATAAGAAAGCACAACCTCTCCATAAACACACAACACAATGAATAATCTAATCATCCCAGGGGGCATACCATTAATGCACATTCCTCTATTCTGTCATTCAGAAAACACAACAAAAAAACTCCACGAGCTCGCTCTATATGACCTGTATTCCTCTCGAGTTAATAAGTACGTGAATTACGGTGTTAAAACAGACATGCTGGGGCAGAGAGCAGGTGAAATGACACATACCGATACCGAGGTAAAGTCTGAACATGTTTTGAGCCTGAGTTTAGCTGACGTAAAGCAGGGAGTGATGCTCTGAACAGAAAAGCAAGAAGCATTACACTCACCTCCATCTAAACAAACAAACACAGAAACTCCCACTGTAATCTTAAGTCATTCAGCTCATTCTGAACAACTTTGCCCAAAGACCCGAAGATCAGATCGTTGAAAATGTCTTATATAAATAGATGTCATGTTTTTGAATGTATAACTGCAGGTTGAGTATGCCTGACTGCTGCACTGTCCACCTTATTCAACACCTGATTTTGTTTGTAATTTAATATGGCACATTTAACAATAATTAT